TGGAGCTGCGTACCTGGTAGTCTTGCCTCTTGATAGAGGGGACATCCATGTTGTGGGTGGAGGGGCACATATCTTCATGCTTCTTGTTGGTGAAGATGTCGATACCAACCAGGTTGACCTGCAGAAGAGAAGATTTATTTATTATACTGTGAGTGTTTAAGTATGTAAAGATACCTCTCTGGGTAAGTCATGAGGTTTATGAAAGAAGCACAACAACAAAAAATCACAATATGGTGTAAACTGTCACCCGCATTATAATGAACTGTGGAGACACACTGACCTATAAATCTAGTTCTCCAGATGTAAGAAAACCTCTGGTACAGAACAAATGCCACACCGTACTTTCAGTTTCAGTGTAAACAAAAACTGTGGTCCAAAGTTGATTAACCACACTGTACAGCCCTAATGATATAAATTGCTGTAATGCACTACAGTTTGTCTAAAGGCCTTTTTTAAAATCAATATAAAAAGTAGTTAATTTTTTCTGCAGGTTTCCAGTTAAATTTAAGACCAAGACCTTTTAAATACCATTATAAATGTAAGAGTCTTCATATCCATACTGGCCCAAAAATACCTGAACTAATGATATGAAGGAAGACCTGTACTGGTTCCATGTAGGTTTAGTTTTGCAGTTGTTACAACAATATCAATACAAATGTTTCCCCAACAGCATTTTTAAAGAGATTTTAGATAAACAACGTTAATGTCATTAATCTAAATCAATTTCTTAAGGCCTTAAATTCAGATTAATGGATTTTAAACCCACGGACACCATTTTTAAAATTAAAAAACAGCCAGAATCTCATTTTTCTTTTTATGAAGTCGTAGAGGAGGGCAAAGTACACTTGGGAGCTCGCTGGTGTTTGAAGAAAAAAAGATAAGGAGAGAAATACTTCAGGCAGCTTGGTCTGAAATCTGAGATCCTTAAAACCAAACAGGGCTTACGCTCTCTGCAAAGCTCGACACAGATCGAGTTTCTTTCCAAAATTAATTTAAAATGTCACAGGTTGAGGTTTGAGGATATTTTTTGTACCTTGGCATGACCGTGCTTGCCGGTCTTGGAGGTGGACATCTCCACAATTTTGCAGGGGCGTCCCTTCAGCACCACGAAGCCGTTCTTACGCAGAGCAGAGCACTGCATGGGGTAGGTGGCGGAGGCGCCAGACTCTCCGGTCGTGAAGTCAAGTTCGGGATCTGCCATGGTCGATGGGTCTGGGGCGCTGTGGGAGATAATTACACATTAGTTACAATCCAAGACTGAAAATACTTCATTAACTGGACTCTTAATGGTCGAATACTAAACATGGCTGGCAGTAAACCCAATTAACAAACACTATCTTTACTTCTTGCTTTGGTAAAGCTCAGTGTGCTGTTTGTGGAACTATATTTATGAGCTGGTTTTAAGATTTACATCGACAGAAATCAATGCACTTGGCTGAGAACTACCGACTGGGTGGGAAAATTAGTAAATATTGAGAGAAACTAACAGTTTTAGTATTTTTTTTTTAGAAGAGTTGTAGAGAAAAATTCTCAAACTGCAGCCTTCAATTGTACTTAAACACATTTTGAGGCCTTAACACGACAGCTGTCATAATTAAAAAGGTGGTTTAAACCATTTATAATGAAACTAGAGTGCCTGGAAGCACAGCGGCAGAATGGATTAATCCCTATAGTCTATGAATCTCTACAGATGTAAACAGATGTCACACCATCATGATTAGTATTTCCCCATTAATTAAAAGTTGTGACGTTAAGAGGATCATTCCCACTAATTAAGATAAAGAGTTGTTCCATATTGTGGATGTGTGAACAATACAAGTTCACTTAAAGCGGGTTAAACTGTATTTTAATGGCCCCCAGGGGGGGGGACCGCTGCAGCCTCCTCACGGCCTCTGCGGGGATCAATCGGTTCCGTGGCTAATCGATATCGCGAGATCTCGATAAGGGAGGGGGGGGGGGTGATTAATCTGAATCAAGTCAGAATAATATAAACATGTGGAAGCAGGGAGACTGAGCCCGGCTCAACACGAGGGTGCACTCTCACTAAAGCTCTCAAAATGTCACCAAACTTCAATTTATAAACTCACACAGTTTAAACTTTAGTGAATTAGACCACAAAGAGCTGAAGCTGCTCATAAGACACCATTAAAAGCAGTTGGCGGGAGCAGAAAGAGGCAGTTTATCTCCGGTTATCTTGCGTTATCACATTAGCTGTGCGGAGCTAGCGTTAGCCGGCCCAGATAACGGTACAAAGCTAACAATAACGGTACCGACGGCGACCGGGAGCCGCTTTCACTCCACATTAACGGTCCAAAAGCACCGAACCCACCCACGTTGTTCACGTTATCGGTGCTGTGGGGTTTATATTGAGCAGTAAACACGCTGCTGCCGCCGAGTACCGTTATCTGCTAGCTGCCGCGGTGCTAACAGCGGCTAGTCACGCTAGCCCCGTCCGGATAAAGGCACCAGCGGGTCGGCGGCGCACTGCTGCTGCTCCTCCTGCGGGCTGCCGGGCTCACACACTGCACAGTAAAACACCGGACAACGAGCATCCCGCATGTTCTGAACGCGTGACACTAAAAAAAAACCCCCGCAGTGAGCGTGGAGGAGGAGAAGCGAGCGCGCCGCCGAAGGCCGCATGTCCTCTCTGATTCCCCGGGTTAGGGTTAGCTGGGCTCGGACTCCCCTCACCCGGCCTCCCGCCGACACCCACAAACACAAATCACCGCTACTGCGTCTGGAAACAACACACGGGTACTTTAGTAGGTGTGTGTCGGCTACCTGCCCCCGTTAGGAGCCGTTAATGCCCCGTTTGTCCCCCCCCGGGGCAGAAACACGCGCCATGCCACACTTACCTTCCAAGAAAAAGAGGACCGAAAGTGCGCAGGCGCGGCCAACTTCACTGCAGCATCCGTAGAGGAAGAAGGGAGGAGGAAGAGGAGGAGGGGAGGGGGGGGGTTTGTGTTCCGGTTGGGGCCCGGTAGAAAGGGTTGCCAGGTCCGGGGGAGGCCGCACCTGGCAACCCGGCAGGAACATTACATGTAATCAGATTACTGTTGTATTTATTTAACAGGGTTTCACTTTATTATGCATCAGTTTTTATTTTACATTCACAGAAAGAGACACATTTTAATGCTGTATACATGTTATTATATTATTATTATTATTATTATTATTAATATTATCTGCTGTTATTAACAATAACACTACCATCATTTCATCAGTACTATTACCACCATCTTACAACTACTACTCTTTATTTACTCTATATTTATCTTTATTATCTTTTCTATCTTTATTTATCTTTATTTATCTTTTCTATCTAAGTATTTTATTCTATTGTTATATTTTATTGTATTTTAATGTACCTGGCTGCTATGACGACTCAATTTTTCTCCGGGGATTAATAAAGTCTATCTATCTATCTATCTATCTATCTATCTATCTATCTATCTATCTATCTAAAGATGTTTCTATTTGGTTATATAACCTTTTAAAAAACGTATTATGTTCCTCTTGTTAGTATTTATGTTTTGTATTTATTTGTTTCTATATAAAAAAAGCTTTACTTGCTTACTTGAATTGTTCTGTTGTCTTTTACAATACACTGACATCAATGCTTCTTATTGGCTTTTCTTTTCTATTGTTTATTTATTTGCATATTTGGTGTTGAGGGAATCCAAAAGTAACATAAAACAATCAAGTTTCATTACTTTAATATTACTTGGATTGTGTTAATGACTGCATTTTCTAACAGGTAATTAGTAATTGTATCAGATTACATTTTTAAAATAACTCTGCGTATTAAGTATTGTCTATAAACTATTGTCCAACCGGAGGTAGGACAAAGCACAATAATATTGTTTTATATTCTCCAAAGTCTCCCATATATGAAACCGATTCTTGTATACAAATACTACAAAAGTGGTTAAATTGACAGATATATATTGTGACAAACCCAATAAATACAGAGATGATATACCTGAACTCTGGATTCCCATGCATGTCTGAAATGTGAATATCTTGATGCACTGAGGAAATAAACAAATAAAAATCCCATTTTTAGGTCCAACACCAACCAGGACTCAGCAGCAATAAATGATCTGTAACTGTAGCAGGTATGGTCAGTGGCCTACATTGAGAAATGTATGATATTAAAATGAAACGGCCATAAATCGTTTGTCTGTGGTCAATTAAAAACAATATTCAGAGTATTTTCCTAAGTAAAAGTTTCTCTGCTACAGCAAAATGGCAAATGGTATATAACATTTACTAACGATCATTCAATCACCGGTTAATCTGAAGAACATTTTTATTCCCTAAGTCTTTATTATGTCTTCAGATGTTTTGTTTTGTCCCACCAACAGTCTAAAACCATAAAATGTTCAGTTTACAATCAAATAAAACAGAGAAAACTGTCAAATCCTCACATTAGAAAACCTGCAACCACAAAAGTTTTGGGGCATTTTTTGCTGATAAAACGGCTTCAAAGATGATTTTATTTATTATTATTGATTAGTAGTTGGTTGTGGAGGTAATTTGAACTATTTTATACACTTTTGGGTTTAATTGCTCATCATATTTAATTTATTACATGACGACAATAATTTCCATAAAAGTAAAAACTGGTGTTCTATCAAGAACTCTTCTGAAGCAAACATCTTATAGTTTTTCTGTCAGTCGATCGATCACTTTTGATCCAGACTGAAACATCTCAACAACAACATTCCCGTCCCCCTCAGGACGAACTGTAATAACTTTGGTGATCTATGAACTTTACATCAGCCTCTGCTGCACTTTGTCTTTATTCCTCAGAAGCTAAAAGTTTGTGAAGAAACATTAAAGGTGCAGTGTGTAACATTTAGTAGGCTCTTTTGGCAGAAATGGAATATAATATTCATACGTATGTGTTCAGTCGTGTTTTTATCTACAGAGGGAGCGGGAAACAAGAACTTTGTCGTACATATGAAGAGTAAAGAAAGAGAGCGGAGCCGATGGTGTTGCTGTACAAGGAGAGGACATTTATTGTAGAATTTTCCAACATCACAGATGTGTGTTACCAGATTGAGGTCGTCTTTTTTGACTGATTCCAGTGATTCAAACGAGGTGAAAACATACACTCACATGCATGTCACACACCTGTGCACATACCTGCTCACCTACACACCCAAACACACACACACACACGCACACACACTCACACTCACAGGCTGACAGCCGTACATACGTTCACAGTCTTGATACGTACAAAAATTGAAATACAAATACAAATAATACCACAATAAAAACATTGTATTTTTTTTTTTTTTAGAAATTCTTATAGCTATGTTCTCTATTCTGTAGAAAGACAACTAAGCTTTAATAAGTGAACATTATTTTTTTGTCTTTCTCTAAAATGATCAGTAAGATATCATCATAACGAAAATTCTTACAGTATATATATCTTTTTAATCTATGGTTTCTCCAACTGACCCTGCCTCCTGACCTTTATTCACAGGGTGTTGATTAATGCTAACATCCTGCACATGTAAAAGGCTTCAGCTGGCCTCAAAGCGGCATCGCTTACACCTCGTCGCATCCCTTAAAAGTCAACGAACAACAAAGGAAATATCAAGTAAAAGATGAACCACTCTCCTCTCTCGCAGCCTGATCACAGTCCCACAAACATCTGCTTTTATGGAGATCATCGTCAAAGTGTCAACCCCGCAATGCTGAGCCCCGTCCTGCTCGCTCTTTATAAGCTGCTCTGGGGGTGAGCGTCAACAAAATGCCTAAAATATAGATTTAATGGTAAATGTATAATCCTCCAGCGTACACATCGTTTGACGTATCCAACTGTTTACTCATAAGATAAAAGCCCAGAGGCTAAGCTAAGTTTAAACTTTCAATTTACAGTGAGAAAAATGCTTTAGGGGCTCGTGTAGAAAGTTTGAGTCCGAGCGTCCGACCTTCTGCAGCCCCAACAGTCAGTGTATTGCCTTAAACTTACGATTCATAACAAGTGACGACGGGTCAAACATGTATGTCACCATGCAAAACGCACAACTAAATAAACAGTGATGGACTACAGAGAAAAAGAGTAAACTTGGAGTGTTAAACCAAACTTTTGTGTAAGTCTTTGCTCAGCTCGTTGGTTGGAATAAAAACCCTCCCGTATGAGAGAAACTACAGATCGGACAGATTTACAGAGGTATGACAAATAAAAAACAAAAAAAAAAGCAAGACTGTTATTTTTTTCTTCAGAGTTTTCACCTGCTTTGCGAAAAAGTCTGTCCTTTAACATCAAAGTGAGTATTTACACAGGTGCAGTGTACACAGAACAGCAGGGACAGAAAAAAAGTGGAGGGAACAAAGGGCAGCAAAAGTAGAAACTTTGAGAAGTTGGCAACTACTCTACGCCAAGTTCTTCTTGTGAGAAATGATGTGAAGATTTTTGTTATTGTGTTGCTGTTGCAGCAATTATACAATATCTACAACCTTCCTTCCCCTACCAGAAATACACCAGGACAAAGTAGCCACAGTAGCTGAAACCAACTGTGCAGCATCCTCAATGACGCGTGTAAATCTCTCCTTTCCCCTGTGACACTAACTGCTTGCTTGTAGTATTTTTCTCTCCTAATGGGGAAGGTGTTTCAGCAGCAGCATTTAGAACGAGTGTTCACACTGTGAGCGGCACCGTCACAAATACAGAGTGACGATCGGGGAAAGGCCACGGCTGAACTTTACAGGGTTTCAGATTCCAGCGTGGCCGCCCTCTGATCGTCACGTCTGACGGCGCAAAGAAGACACTCTTCTGTTTTTTTTGCTACAAGATATTTGTCTAGAAAACGTTGAGATTCAGTCGGATCACTATCAAGAGGTTATTTTAATGATATCAACGACAAACGCCGTCACATATATTTCTTGGATCCAACATTTGGTCGGTGATTCAGAGTGGTTGAAGACTGATTGTCCACACTTAGCCGGCTAATTCAGTAAACTCTTGAAGAAAGGTGACAAATTCACTGCATATAACACAGTGTGAGATAACAAATGATTTAATTGATAAATAGCGGGGAAGGGCTAGAAATAAATAAGTGTATACATCCTCCTACTCCTTTTTGAACATGTAGGATTTAATGTGTGTTGTTTATGGGGATTTATTCATATATGATTATCGTTTATTTCACTTTAATGTTATCTTATCCTGTTTTTTATCTTTTTTTCTTTTACATGTTTGAAATAAATACAATCAAACTTCATTCGCAATCTGTGTCCGACTGCACAATATCAGCTGTGTCAGATTGTGTGTGATGTGGAAAATGTGATAAAATCAGATTTGGCCATAGCGTCGACACTTCTACGCACTGGAAAACATCAAAAAAGGGGTTCAGAAATTTCCTGTTTCTCTCAAAACTTTCGACTTTTGTCTAGGACACTGGTCCTCAAACTATGGTAGTATAGCGTCGAAATACTGCAACATTTGGAGGTGGTACGTGTTGTAAAAAGTTTGAGTGTCTGGGCAGGCTGAAGTTGTTTTACAAAAGCTCACTCTCGCTCGTGCACTGTAAAAAAAAATAGTTTTTTTCACGTTGTTTCCAAAAAGCTTAGTCTGGACGCAAGGCCAAACTGAAGGGAAAAACCTTTAGCCGGCTTAGTGTGGATGTACTGAGTTGCCCAGAGTGACTTTTACGTCTCAAAAAACCTCCACTTTTTGGGTCGAGGACAAGCTCAAGTTTTCTTCTCCTATTGATGCTACCTCGTGTTCACTCACTACAGCACAGCGCAGTAAAATATGTCTGATTCACTGCAGTAAACGCAGTCAGAACACTTGCATCACCACCAACAAGCAGAGACAAATCGTACTCGCAGTGTGAACACCCTGTAAGAAATCATTAATGTGCTACACAGAGAACTTCTCTACAGCTCCCCATTCAACCAAATGGGGACGTCAAAGGCTACTCGGCATGATGTCAGTGTCCTTTTAAAAACTCCATCAGCCCAATCGAACAGTCCACAGGGAAGGCGAAGGCATCGTCCACAGTCAGTATGTGGAGTCACCCAGCAGGCAGTGACACCATCCACGGGGCCTGTAGCGCCCCCTATAGCTGGAGGGTATCTATAACGGGGGACACGGTCCTGTGGTTTAACTCGTCCTCCGGTTGCTCAATCGTCAATCGTTAAGCAGCTCGTTGTTTTCCTCCACAAACACACACACACACACACACACATTGTATACACATACACACTGTCCTCCTGTCATCCCTCTCTCCTGATGTCGGGGCGATGTTCAGAGTGAAGAAGAGGAGGGTTGTGGGTTTGAAGGAGAGGTGTTACCAGTTCATCATGGAGCTTCTGTTGAGGGTCATGAAGAAGACTTGGCTGCTGCCTCCAGAACGCACCGAGGCGAAGAAAACCTGCAGGAATGAGACGACAGCGTTAGATTGGACGCACGCCAGTTTATTTTAGTTTGGTGACTGTTAGTGGACACTGTTGGATTTCAAAATAAAAGGCTAATATCCCAACCTGATACAGAGAATATGATGCAGTTTATGTACCGATTGTAAAACTCTTCTCTCCTCTTCTACATAGTCCGCCATGTTTCTACTTTTTCACAACCATCCATCAAAATCTGCTGTTTTCACTGGTAGGGAATTCCCTGCAGTCGGTGCCTCATTTTTAAATGTTTTGAGGAGTTTTCAGACTCACCTTGTCGTTCCTCTCCGACAGGAACTTCAGTCGCTGAGCTCGCTTGTGCATGAAAACTCCGTCGAGGTGTCCCGTCTCCACGGAGCGGATCTCAATGGCCTTCTCTCCCCAACCCATGATCTGGTTGGAGTGGATGTAGGCTGCAGGGAGAGGAGAGGGTATCACACACACACACACACACACACACACACACAATCAAACACACACACACACACACACACACACACACACACGGAGGGGGATTGGACAGGAGAAGACTCAGCACCAGTCTCACACCCAAGCCAGTCACACATCGAGGCCTCCTCTGCCTCACCTCCGGGAGGAGATTATTGCAGCAGTTTCTGACTGATTCGAACGATCACGATGAGCTCTTCATGTGAGAAGAAGCTTTGGCGTTGGGAAAAGATGTCAAAGCAACAGATCAGAAGAAATCAAAGAACAGGCTGCTTGCTGGGTTTCCACTGATCGGTTTGATGTCAGTTATTGATTTAAATTAATCATTTGAGCACCATCGACCGATGCTGGTGGTCTGAATGCGAGATGATGTTACGCACACGCGACAGTTTCTTGAACAGCTTCAGTGAAAAGTGCGACGGGGCTTTTCTGGAGCTGCTTCACAATAAAACCCTCGTGACGATTCACTTTTAATCTGACGCATCAGTTTCGACAGCAAAGGAGAGCAAAAAAAAGTGAAACTTTTAAAATGTGCCTTCTCTCTCATCGGCAAACGTTGAGCCAATTAGTTTAGCACAATGAAACCCGGTGGTCGAGGCCATCTTGTTTTGGCGCTACGTGGCCGGAGTAAAGACACCTCGCCAAGCCACGACTAAACTGTGCGATACCAAACCAGTGGAAAACGGTCAGCAGAGAGGGTTTTTTTGCTGAGGAAGGGGGTCGACCAGTGTGCGGAATAAAGCGCGGCGACGATGCAGGTTTTATGGTTTGTCTGGGAGGGGGGGGCTGAGGCCGGGCTTGGCTGTGAGAAACTCTGGTCTGACAGTAAAATACACACAAACATGTTAACAGGAGATGATGTCCACACACACACAGAACACATACAGTAACCACCAGTGCTTCAGGACACAGACGCAGTCAGTCAAACATACATGTTTAAATCAATCAGGATATTATACACACTGACATCTGAGAATCAGAGAGTGAAGGCCGAATGGAAAAACACAGAGGCTTTGATCGACTCAGATCACAAGATCCAAGATCCATCCTTGATGTGCGTCTGCTGTTTTCTTCATGTGGTTTGACTGAGTGTGTACTCATAAGTAATAGATTCATTTAGATGCACAGCACTCTTTGATCTCGCTTTAAGTCGGCCGAATTTCACAAATATCTTGTTTGGTTTGGAGTTATTTTAGAGCTCATGCAATCAAGGATGAAAGTGAGAATGGATGAGAAATTCCTTTTTGAAATATTTCACAGATAACAGTCATACAGAACAAGAGGACAGAACTCAACACAGCAGACAAACAACACACAAGCATTTCCCCCAATGCACAGGATAAAGATATATTGTATATAAAAAAGGAGAGTGTCCAAAGTAAAAAACAAAAAAGATTCTATATATAAAGATTGAGGTGGGGTAGAGTGTAGAGGTAATGCTCTGTGTCAACTCATGCAGCAGATGGATGTTCAACACTTGACATTAAAGAGATACGTTGAGTTTTTGGGTTGTTGTTCTTTGGTCAACTCACCTGTTAAGTGATGAGAACACTGACACCAAAACCCTCCATTCAATTTGTCCGATTGGTTCCAGTCCACTTTGGTTTATCTTACAATGAACATTTACAGCCTCACAAAGCTGCTAGCTGCAGGCTGTAGACAAATATTAGTTAAAGGACCAGTGTGTAGGATTTAGTGGCATCTAGCAGTGAAGTTTTAGATTGCAACCAACTGAACACTGCTCGCCTTCCAAGTGTTTAGGAGAAACTATGGTGGCCACAAAACTTTCTATCAAGTGTAGACCTATCGTGGCGTCACCCATTGGTTTGTGGAGTCCCGTTTTGAAGCCTCAAGTTTGGCTTTATTGATCGCCCTAAAGCATACTCTGCTTTATGGTCTGTTTTACTCTAAATGGGACCATCAGTTACTAAATGAACATCATGCTGTATGGAAGAAGACTGAAACTACAGACTGAGATCAGAAACTCATCAGGAAACCGTTTACTGAGCTCATAAATCAACTGAGAAGTCGACTCATTTCTCCATAAGACTCAATACTATCAGACTTCTTTGTGCAGCCAATAGAGTTGCCCCCTGCTGGCCCATTACATAGAATGCAGGTTTAAGACACTGGCTTCACTTCACAGATATTGATGAGATTCACAATAGTAAATGTATATGTTTATTAATGGACCATGGTGTGGTTGTGTGTCTAGTAAATATTCTGTTTTTAATCATTAAAATATAGTTTATTATAGTTTATTATAGTTTACGACATGTGATTATAATGCCAAAAGGTATTTTTTTCGCATAAAACAGCGTGGTGCTAATAATATATGAAGAAGTCAGCGGAGGTTTGGATCCATACATTGTTTGTGTAAATGTAAATACAGCATTAAGTCAGTAACGGACCTGGCTTAAGTTTGGATCACCTGGAAGTTATTAATATTTAAAGTGGAAGTTTCCCTGCCTTCAATTCTAATTCTATGGACACGAGTCAAAAGAAGACACTAAGTGGATCAGGTGGTAAAACGACCAATACAGACACACTTTATATATTATATTTATCATATTTCTGCCAACAGAAACTCCTAATTGTTTCACACTGGACCTTTAATAACTAAATTTAAGGAACCCTTTGGGTTATGTGTTAATGTTAAAATGTGAGAATTGGCTATTTTATTATCTGAGTTTTTTAAATCTTCAAATATCCATACTGGTATTTGCCTCAAAAAGCTGATATTCTACTATAATGTAGTGGTTCCCAACCTTTTTCTTTACTGATGACTCCTGACTCAGTGACATATTTCATATTATATTAAAAACTGTACAATTAACCCAAAAACTGAACTCAGTAACTGCAGGAAGTTTGTGTAACACTGATTTGATTTAGATTAATTTTGAGCAGATTATTTCCTGTTTAGGGAACTTTTTATACAATTCTCTGTCTGTATTATGTATTTTTGTTATAATTTTTAACAATCAAACAGACTTATTAGGCTTCTTTTTTAACAGATTCTGTGTTTTCTTGTCTCTGACGTTTGGCTGTTGTTCTATTAGACAATTAACTTTACATGAACTCTTCCCAGAAGTGAACCAAATGCAGAGGTTTAAACCTACTGTGTATATATTTCAATTTCGTTTACTTACACGCCATGAAGTCAACAAGGCCTCGTAACCTCCAGGTCGGGAACCACTGCTATAACAATCCACGTTAGCCGGTGCTAATCTTTCCCCTGATTTACTTTGCAGCATTCACCACTCATTCAAAAAACAACAACATAAAAGCCCCCCAGGCAGGTTCTTATCAAGTGATTTCATTCAACATAGTGTTTATGAAAGTGTTAGCGTGAAGGAACGGCGCCGTCAGTCTCATGTTGGATTGGTTTTGGTCCCCGTTTTCATCACTTTACCCAACAGAGTTGAGGTTCTGTTCAACGCCCCCAAAAACCCGTCTGTATTCCTTTAAGCAGTTAATGAAACAGGTGAAACTACAGTTCTTTGGCTTCTTGTTTTGAAGGTGTAACTGAAAGCAAAAAGGCAGGAGGAGAGAGAGGAGTGTTGCTTTGAACGGAGGAGAAGTGGTGGATAGTAGTGAGGGTGAAAAGATGATCTGCTGAGACCGCTTATAGAGGTCTAGAGGTCAGGGGTCAGGGAGAAGCGAGCTGATTGGTTGACGTACCGACGGAGGTGGGCATCTCGCCCCACTGCAGCACCACGTCTTTGGTGATGCGTCCGTAGGTGTTGACGTAGACGCCCTCGTCCTCGTAGCACAGCAGCATCTCCATGCCGTCCGTCTTGGGCAGAACCACGATGGCGTGCGGGGTCACCTGACCCTGAATCTGCCGGGGCGACACACGGGAGGGGGTTGGAGGGGGGGGGGGGGGATTAGGAGCTGCCGTGAGCCTAAAAGGGGGGGTCTGGACACCCCCTCTAACTCCTCCCCCCCTCCTCCTCCTCCCCACCCTGAGAGAGAAGAAACTGCTGCAACAATAGAGTCTCCCGCTCCTCAGCCACGCAATCGCCATGGAAACAGACATGAGCACAGCGTGATTCATGACTGCCACAAGCAATGTGAGGCGGTTGCTGTGGTTACCGTCTCCTTCCCGCCCCCCCGGTCCATCTCTTACTGTAACCAGACCAGGGTTAGAGGAGGACACGCTGATTCACCCACTCATTCATTCATTCATTCATTCACTCAGCTATCCGTCCATTCAGTCACGCTCTCGTCCGTTCACTCATGTATTCACTCGTTCACCCACTTACTGACTCATGTATCTGCTCACTCACTCACTCACTCACTCACTCACTCCTTCATTTAATTAATTTTTCATTCATTCACTAATTTACTATTGGACAACCTACTCAAGGACTCATTTATTCATTTATTCACTTGCTCACTCCTTTTTTCACTCACTCTCTCACTGACTCATTAACTCTGTCATTGCCTTGTTCATTCACTCATTTGTGTATTTGTTGACTTACCCAATCCTTAGAAAAATTAAGCAGTGAATTCATTCATTCATAATTCACTGACTCATTCAGTAACCATAATCATTTATTCGACTGTTGACTCACTTAATTCATTCTCTCACTAACTTTTTTACTCACTCACTCACTCATTCACTTTTCTAGTAACTCATCGATTCATTCTTTTACTCACTAACTCCTTCATTGGTTCAATAATTAATTAATTCACTCAATTAGTAACTTATCAATCCATTCACTCACTCACTCTTAACATCACCCAACAATTCATTCATTCTGGTGGTCACTTCTTACTGCCTTATTCATTCATTCATTCATTCAGTCAGGCAAAGCAATCGAAGTCTCTTAACCATTTGTTCATTCATTCATTCACTCACTTACAAAATGACAGCCCTTACTCTGACACTCACTCACTCACTCACTGATCCAGTCTTTAGTTTATGTATTCACTCACTCATTGTCACTCGTTCACTCAATAAATTACACAATTTGATCTTAAAATCGCTCAAATTAAACATGAAATGTAATTAATTACTGATGTTAAACATAGCAGAAACCTCATTCATTCATTCACACACACACACAGACTAACATGTGAGGGGATGTAGATGTCGTAGGGGTTTCCAGAGTCCACATCGATGACGTGGAAGCCGACACTGGAGCCGTAGATGACCTTTAACCTCTGTCCCTCCTCCACGGTCAGATCAACCAGCTGGGGACGATGCTGCAGGTCAGTGAACGACTGACGAGAAAGAGAGAGAGAGGGATTAATTAAACAACATTACAGGTACAAACAACAAAGAATAACTAAAAGCTAAAAGCAACTCAAATACACTTCCACACACACACACACACACACACACACACACACACACACACACACACACACATCGTCAGTAGCCATTAAAAAGTGACATTAAAATTAATTTCGGTCTGTAAATAATTACACAAACAGTTACCCCCAACAAAACTGTATAGAAGAAACAATACAACATAGCGTAACTATTTCCTACAGATTTAAAAGGCGCAGACTGAAGCTACGGGTTGAATGAAGTGGTGGAAGTATTCATATTCTTTACTTAAAGGACCAGTGTGAAGGAGAAAGTGAAGGAGAAACTACGGTTGCAAGCAAAAAATGTGAATGCCGTCTATTCTGGACTACTGTAGAAACATGGTGGACTTCACGGCTCATTCTAAGGTAACTAAAACATAAAGATTCCTATATTCAGGTGATTATACATTATTAAAAACATACCTATGAATATTATATTGCATTTCTGATAAGAGATCCTCCTAAATTCTACACACTGGACCTTTAAGTGACAGTAACACAATTTAAAAACACTGTTACAGGTAAAAGTCCGACACGTTTTCCTAGTAAAAGTACAGAAGTATTATCAGGAAAATGTACATTAAGTATCAAAAGGAAAGTGTTTGTTATGGAGGCAGAAAATCTTCATCTCATCAAGTGTTTTTGTCCATTTTTGAGTCCTAACTTTGCTGAAAGTCCTGAATAAAACAAGTGAAATCTGTTTCTAATTCCCATTCTTTGTAGAATCAATATCCTTTTTCCTGATTTGCATTTGAATTAAACAAAATTACGCCTGCAATTATTAATTTTCTTGCTGGTTAATTAGTCGGTTGATTTGATTACATGTTTTTTTAAGTCGTGTCTGCCTTAGGGTTTTTTCTTTGCCAGGCAACTTTTTTGAAAAGAAATTCTGTATCTCAGTAAATCTGTGTCCTGGATAAATAGATAAATTAATAAAAACTCTTGTTACCTCACATGTTCTCAAAAACAAAGGAGTCTTTTATCACCAACTCTTACCACCTCAAACACCTGACACATCTTACCTTGAAGGCCATAAACTTGTGGTAAGGTTTAGGCGCCCAGGCGTAGATCTCCACCGAGTTCTTCAGAGCAATCACCAAGAATTTAATCCTCTCATACTTCACTGCAGGAGGAGAGCAGAACGGAATAAAAACTGATATGTGGCAACAAATTTTGTTAATAATAATATTATTAATTAATAATAATAATAAAAAGTTTTTTGTCCCCATAATGTGAGTGTGTTAACAGGTTCATGTCCCCACAACACACATAAGCTTGTTTTCGTACCGACTTTATAGTGCACGCAGCCCTCCAGCTCCCCAACAGTGATCCAACCCTGTTTCTTTTCCACTTCAGGGTCGTTGTGTAATATCCTGTTCCTCAGCCAGGACAGGTAGTAAACACGCAACTTGTTCTTCTTCCCTGGTTAGGAAAGGAAACAAACAAAGGAAAACAGAGAATTCTTCTTAGCTGTAAATCTGTTTTCATGCACAGGTGTTTACATTTCAGGCATCGCTGACACTCGTCCAAAGTGACTTAATATTGCATCAGCGCCAAGAGCTGTGTTTCATCACCGACATCCAAGACATTCAAATTCAGTGAGTGCCTTATTTTGTGAAGGCAGGAATTCACCAACAGTCAACACAACATGGCAAAAATAGAAACATCTCCGTCATGTTCAACGTCTTGTTTTGTTTTCTATTCCTACTTGAAACCAGTGGGCAGCACTTGAAAATTAGAGAGACAACAGTAACCAAGGGAAACAGGAAACACTGGCGACACAAACAATAAGAAAGGATAAAAATGAGAAATCAACAAAGACAGCTGAGGAAAAAAGGAAAGATTGGAGCCTTCAACTGCTTCTCCAGCGGACTATAGACAACTCAAAGGCTGAGTGAAAATCCTCCCCGTCATAGATGGGTGTAAACGGGTTAAAAATGTCCTTATTTTGCATTTAACAGAACCTCAAAACTCCCTTGAACACAACCACAGATGCACTTAGGATATGGGGTTTTAAGAGGCATACCAACCTGAGATGGTGACCAGGACGTTGAGTCCCTCCAGGACGTCCATCTGTTGGAAGCGCCGCCGATTGATCAGATTGTAAACTTTCCCTTGACCGCTTCGATCCAGCAGCATCAGGCCGTTCTCCGTCCCCACCAGCAGATTAACTCCTGCACAAACACACAGACGTCTGGTTTTTTACCACCTGTGTAACTGCACGTGATTAATAACGTTGTTTTGAAGGTGTTAGGCGTCTCACCCCAGAGAGCAGCGCAGAGGATCTCGGAGTTGAAACGTTTCTTGTATTTGCGGATCTCGGGCGTGTCGCTGTGCGGTCGGATGTTGGTCGGGTTCACGTTGACCACAGAGATCTTCCTGGCCTCGTTGAGCCTCGCCTGCTCCTGCTCGTGCTTCAGCAGCTCGTCAGCAAACAGCGCTGCGGCACGACACAGAAAAACAACATTATCTGGTGTTTTTACTCACTGAACCCAAACTTTGTTATGTGGAAACAAAAGGAAATCAAAGAGGTTTTTATTGTCTTTATTTTAAGCTCTTTGGCCAGTAAATTCAAAAGAGGACGAACAGAAATGTAGCTTAAAGAATGAATTATTAACCTTAACGTAAGATTTGTTACAATTAGTTGATTCAACTAAAATCTTTAAAATATTCAGTACAGAGAAAACTTTGATTTTATGATATCTAACTCTGTAAATCTAAAAATAACAAAAAGAAATGTATGAAACAGCTAACTTTGTTAAAAAGGAACAGAAATACATTGTAATAAACAAATATTCCATCATCATTAACAATTGTTAAATTTAATTATTCAGTTCCAAACCTTGTTTTTTTGCTTGTGACACCTTAATATGAAGCAATTTCTTTATTTTTTTTAACTTTATATTGTTATTTCTTTACATAAAATGGGCTTCATAATAATCATCTTTATATTTCTCATGACACATTGTTACAGGTTGATGTCTATGAGTTGCAGTTGCAGAAGGTTTTCACCCTCTCAGACCGAGTTTTGTAGAGAAATAAACATAATTATGTGCAGCAGAAAGTTGTTTTTTCTTCTTTTTAACCCAATAAACGTCTCAAGGCCCCTTAGATACATCTTTTTGGGGGTCCCAACCACCAGGTGCAACACTGTGATGCCACACTCGGAGAGGAAATGTACCTGAGGCCGAGATGTTATCGTCGTCGTCAGTCGGGGAGGTCCCATACACCCTCGGATCAACGAACGGTGTGAAGGAAGCCTTGGAGCCTCCGCTGCTTCCCATCCCGTACTGCAGATCACACAAACACGGGACACAGTCAGTCACATGTTCGTCTGATGGTTCGTTAGTTTTGGGAAAAACTGAGTGAAACAGGCAACTGATAAAATAAAGGAAGTGCAGTGAAGACTTCGTGGTCACGGCGAGCCACAAAAACATCTTTTAAAGCAACTTTCAGTTTGTTTATTTCCTCCACAATAATGAAATCTGATCAGATCAGGACACTTCCACCTTAAACTCTCAGTGTTTCCTTTATTTTGTCAGCTACCTGTATCATGTGCTGAGGGGTGGAGGACACTTTCTGGAATCAGAGGCTGGAAAAATAGAGAGAGGGAGGGAGAAAGAGAGGGCTCAAAAAACGAGTGGATCAGGGAGGGAAGAAATCCAGTTTGTTCCATCTGTGGGGAAAACACTGGAGCCAAAGCGGGACGGATCTAAATAGAACAGGGCAGGAAATTAAAGGTGCCACGTGTTGTCATTTTTTATTCTCATGCTTCGAATCTCATTTCCTTTAAACCCTGTTGCTGAAAAATCATTATTATTTAGTAAACTAAGTCACATATTTGATGGATATTTCATATTATATTTAAAAACTGTACATTGAACCCAAACAGTGAACTCAGTAACTGCAGGAAGTTTGTGTAAAACCAGAGATTTGGATGAATTTTGAGCAGATTATTTCCTGTTTAGGGAACTTTTTTTTTACAATTCTCTGTCTGTATTCTGTATTTTTTAAAATAATTTTTAACAATCGTACAACCTTAATAAGGCTCAAATTCACTGCTTTCTTCTGCCTGATTGAAGATTTACTTTACTTTTCTTCCCAGAAGTGAACCAAATGCTGAGATATAGGCCTCATTTTCATTTAGTTTAAACTTTAAACTAAGCCTTAAAATAAAAAAACCCAGATTGGGAACCACTAAACTAGGTGATAAATTGATTGATAAAATGTATTTTCATATTTTATTAATTGTTTTACTCATTATTTAGTCATTTTTTGGGGGCGGCCCACCACGTTACGCCGTCCTTTGAACTTCTGCATTCGAATGGAAATAGCAGCCTTATTAAAATGTTTGCTGAAATGATGAAATCATGTGAACATATAATGGAAAGATTAGGTCTGTAATTGAAGTCGGTGTGTAAACGCTGCACTGAACTGAACTCTCACAAAGTTTACACAAATTAATTCTCAGCGTGAAGGAAACACTGATTAATCTGTAACTATTAGTCTAAGTCAAAAACTGTTCTACAGATTTTATCTTAAATTACTGATCTTCAACCTAAAAAAAACCCATAAAAATATCCAGTTTCAGATTAAAGTAAACCAGCTTAAGTTTACTGGTGTTTGTCTGGTGGCTGCTGGTAATTTCCCACCCTGATAGAGGACCAAACAGCTGGTTGGCGACAGGTTTGTGGGCAGGTGGGGGTGTGACGGGGTGAACAGGGTGAACAGGTGACAGGGTGCTGGTCTGTCAGGATCAGGTGCGGAGGGGGTTTCAAGCCGGGGAGGGCCGATAGTTGGGGTGCTGCTCCACCTACTTGGGCCCCAGAGGCGTCGCCAGGGGAGACCAGGGGGGAGGTGCTTTGCTGCACCAAATCGGGGAGATTGGCGTTGCCAGGGAACAGATTAGCGTTGCCTGGGAAACCGTTGCTGGCAGTTGAGCTCCGCCTCCGTTCCCTATGTTTCTGGAAAAAGAGAGAGAGGGGCGGGCTACTGTGCAGCGAGGCTGTGATTGACAGGTCATGTGACGGAGGGAGGAAGCTGCTGTGTGCGGGTGTGCTTGTTTTCGGGGGGGGCGGGCGGGTACTGAACCCAAAGGCTTTCAACAGAAGAAAGTAATCATTCATACATTTTATCTTAATCTTAGACAGTCATAATGACTTTTTGGATTAAAGCTCATTTTCTTTTCTTTTGCATATTTTTCCAGTTTGAGTGGAAAAGCTTCTGAAACAAAGACAGACCACCACAGGACCCTAAAACCTACCAATAAAACCCGGTTAACAACAAGATACAGCTTAAATAATACCAACAGTTGAGCATCTATTGGCAGAAATAGAATTTAATATTCATTAGTATGTTTTTATTAGTATATTTACCTGAATATATAAATCATTATGTTTTTGTTACCTTAAAAAGAGACATTTTTATATACACAGGTTCACCCGGTAGCAGGTCCTCTTCCAGGGAGGCCGCCATCATGAACCGCCATGTTTCTACAGTAGCTCAGAATGACTTTCGTGGCCACCGTAGTTTCTCCTTTCACCCTTCGGAAGGCTGAGCTGTATTCAAATGGCTGCAATCTGCAACTACACCACTAGTTACTACTAATTCCTGCACACTGATCCTTTAAAAGGAACTACGGAAACTACGGTGGCTGCAAAAAATCTACAGCCAGAGTTTGGTTTGTCCCTTCTGGGCTACTGTAGAAACATGGTGAACACTGATTCAGATGATTACACACTAATAAAAACATACCTATGAATATTATATTACATTTCTGCCAGTAGATCCTCTTAAATGTTACACACAGAAAATAAATCAGCAGTTTTTATTTTATGCTTTAAAAATGGCTTAAACAATTAATAGATGATCAAAATGGATAATCTATTAATTGTTTAAGCCATTTTTAAAGCATAAAATTTAAAGATTTCTCTTGTTGCTGGTTTATTTGATGGTTTTCTTGGTCTTTTTTATGACAGTAAACTAAACATCTTGAAAGTTTTCAATTGCTTGTCAGACAAATAATACCTTTCAATAAATATCAACTTGTGTTTGGGGAAACTGACAATCACTACCTTCTATAGTCTACAATAAATACATAATCAATGAAACTGAATCACCGGCTCATGAGCTGGAAAATAAACCAAATGCACTTAATTAAAGACGCCTAAATTTAATCTTATTACAGTTTGAAATTAATTAATTAATAGTCCGAATCCCAAATAATTAAACTGAGAACGGCTCAAACAACCACTGACGTCCAAACAGATGTTCAACCAACCAAAAGTCCAGAAACTTTTTGGTCGCACTGTATTTAATCCAGACAAACGAGTAAAAGCAAATTAAAAAATACTATTAAAAGAATCAAAATAAAAGTACAAAGAGTACATTTATGGAGATATTTTAGATCTTATAATCCAGCCTGAATCCTGAGTGTATTTTTAAAAACATCTGGGGAATATGTGTAGAAACGCTAACAAACGCCGACCCTCCACGCCCTGTGTGTGTGTGTGTGTGTGTGTGTTATTCACATTCACACACAAACAACAGGAAACAGCCAGGCATGCAGAGCTGGTGAATGAGCGTCCGAGCGTCAGTTTGTGTGGAGTCAGCGAGGCTCCGGTGCCCGGGTCAAAGGTCAAGAACTGAGAGGCGGCTCACCTCGCGCATCATCAGCGTGCTGTCCTGGGAGCTGTTCCCATACGAGTCGTCGTGGGTGTCGTTGTGACCTCCCATCATGCCGAAGGACTCGTTGGTACCTTGACTCGCTGCTGGCCTGAAACAGAGAAGTCAACATTTTTATTTTTATTACAAAATAACTAAAAATATTCTTTTAAATCTGCTGTTTATCCCCAAAAAAGCTCCAAAGTTCCTTACTAAACTCAACTTTATTTATATATATATCATACAAACATGCACATAAAAACAAAAATGAGCAGCAATTAAGGGCTAAAACTGAGTATAATAAAAAATAAAAGTCGATATAGAAATAAACACCAGTAACACACCAAATAAAGTAAAAACCAAACATTAAAACATAAAAACTAAGGCTATAACATAAAAACTACTGCGACTGCCACTCAAATATCCAGAGATAAAAACAGAAATGCACTCTCACTGCTGCTTTTATTGGACACATAAGGAACATTTAAGAGAAAGTCTCTGATGTATGGAGGAGCAAGGTCGTTTAAAGCTTTACAAACAAGTAAAAGAACTTTAAGATCAATTCTTAGAGACAGACTCTCAACTAGCTGTAGCTTTCTTATAGATTTTGGAGGTAATCCAGTAAACAGAGAACTGACTTTATTCCTAAAATGTAAAAGAAAAAGAGGCTGTTTTAATTACCGTGTTGAAATAAGAATTAGATTTTATCTAAAATCACATGTATGACGTTAGATTTAATCTTGGGTCCAAGAGATTATCCCTAATTTCACACTATTATCCCCCGAGTCTCGTTACATAAAGAAAGGCTGCTTTTAATTTCATTTAGCAAATATAAACCTTAAAGCTTCACTTTAAAAATGCAGGTGTATCTTATTCATTAGGTAATGTTGTCAGACGCGGTGCCACAAAGTGAAAAGTCTGTACTAATAAAACAAGATTAAGGTATAAAACATTGTAGTTTCTGGTAGTAAAAGGTACAAATCTTCCAGACGGTGACTTCCTTGTTGTATCTTATTTTGGTAAATTTAGATTTTAAAGGTGAGTGTTTTCTCAACTGTAAGAATTCAGTTTGAATCTGAACTGAAATAGTAATAATAATAATAATAATAATAATAATAAATAGGTAAACCTGCATTAATTTATTTATCTTTCAACTGCTGTTAGTTATTAGTTTGATTAATGGTTTAATAATGTGTGTATTGATTACTGAAACTGGCTGTAAATAGCTTCACCTTTGTGTGTTTTTAAACTACTTTACTAATTAAACCTGCTGTGTGTATAATTAATGGTGTTATTAATGACTCCTGATGAAACGGAGATCTGGTAGGGAGTGACCTCTCGTTGCTGATCACTCACGTTGTGAAAACGACTTCAAGTCAACAAACCAAGTGATCAAGTGCCCAAGAAAAGGGACTTAATTACAGCAATGCAGTCGTTGTAATTAACTCTCTGGCCACGCGTAACATCACTCACATCAAACATAGTAATCTGATCCATTGCTGATATAAAAATATTGATTAAAGCAGCTTTAAAGGTTCACACAGAATGCGACGAAGCCATATAACACAATATACTATACTTTAATATACTATATTTACATCAGATTATACAGGTTATATACAATAAAAATACAGAAAGTGCATGTGTTGGTGTGTGGGAAGCCAGTGTGGGATCATGCCCTCGTCCCCCTTTTGGTCGTGGGAGAAATAAATGTGTTTTATTGATCAGGAAACAGTAAGACTCACATGATGCGCGGTATATCGCTGACGGCCACGGATCCGTCGTTGGCTCCGCCCTCGCCCTCCTCGTCCTCGCTGCTGTGAGAGTCCTCGCTGGATGACGAGTAGTCCGTCACTTTGACAGGCGGGCGGCTGGTTTCCTCGCCCTGCCGCAGCTCTCGCAGCTCTTTGGCCAGAGCCGTCAGGTCCTGGAGGACAGCGGGACGACAAGGAGAGTCAGAGACTAATTATTTGAACTATTTGGGTTTTTTTTACTTCATTTAAACTCAAACTCTCAGAGTCGGTTGGGAAGAGTGATCCCTACTGAGTACAGATAACATCATGCAGTTGTCATCAAAGGTTTTAGAGTAAGTTGTTCTACATTAAAGGTGGCGTCAGTCATTCTGCTGATTGTTCTTTATCTTTCTCCAGAACGTCAGACCTTTTCAAATGCCTTTAAAAAAAAAAGGTTGTTGAGAGATTTGTCCATGTTTGTGAAGCTGTTTATAGCGTAAATATCTAATTCGGGCTCTGTGACAGCTGCAGAGACGCTCCGGTCGAAGGATGTACCGCCACGGGAGCCCGACTCTCTAGCGGGGATAGACTGATTGACATTTCATTAAAGTTTAGATCGATATCGTGCAGCACATAAAGTGTTTAATTAGCTGAGTAAAGTGTTGATTATAAAAATGTAATTGACCATTGAAAAGCAATTTACATTACATTACAATTACAGCTGATGCCATCTGACAGTTGCATTAACACATCAAGCATATATATATAAAGCATTCAACGTGCAAGGTGTCAAAGCATTTTAGTGCTGTTGATTAAAATCTAAATGTCTGTTCCTGATCGGTCCTTTAAATCTACAAAAGTATAAATACGCAAAGACAGAAAAAGAAGAAAATAAACTTTAAAAGGATGTAAACATCTGGAATAATCTAAAAGCTGACCTAGAAATAGAAATATTTAAAAATAAATTATATACGTTTTGTAGTAATTATAGTTCATTCAGAGTAGTTTACAATTAGGAACATAACATAATAAAATACAATAAAATTCAAATATAAACAGAAAAATAATAGACTAGAAGTACATTTTTAGTGCAGTTACAGCGTAATAAATTGCCCTTAATTTAATAATGAAAGTGTTTTTAAGTTAAACATTAGAGCTCATAAGCAGTTTGGGGGAGTAATGGATTACAAGTAACTGAATTACATAATCAGGATACAAAAAAAGGTAACATTTAGTACAAATGGGGATTATTTAGCAGGATTACAATTTTAAAATACATCAGTTTTTCTTTAAAAATACACATTGTTCTGTTGTTTTACAGATATTCTTCAATACTTCTTATTAATATTTATTTTCTCTTGTTTTTATCTGCACATTTGGTTGGTTGAGGTAATCCAAAAGTAACAGAAAGTAATCAGGTTACGTCACTTGAATATTGTGATACTTGGATCTGGTTACTGACTACATTGTTTAACAGTAATTGTAATGAGATTACATTTTTACAGTAACCCTCCCAACCCTGCTCACAAGGTCCTCAGGTTTCCTTCTGTGCAGCTTCAAGCTCATCAGAAATGTATTTTGGCTCCAATCTGTCAAAAACTTCATATATATTCATTTTTATAACCAACAGGAAGCCAGTGTGAAGGTTTACGACCCGGAGTAATGCGCTCTGGGTCTTGTTCTGCATTTAAACCCTGAGATAATTTTAATATGCAGCTTTAAAAAGAGGAGTTTTTTTTTACTATTTGTGGCACAATGCAAGTTGTTAGTAAGATTCTGTTTCCAGTTCAGCCACATTACTGAGCGTCCACTGTGGGGAGGGCAGCGAGCAGCAGGACAGTGCGGGGAGAAGAGGAGGGTCAGAGTACAGATGCCATCATGCGTCAGTGCAGGAGGGCCAAGGGTTAAAAGCTCAGGGCAAGGGGGGGGGGGGGGGCTTTAAATTCAGCCTCTGTGACGTCTCACAGCAGCAAAAAGAGCTGTGCATGTGAGAGGTTAAGTGACCAGGAAGTGGACGAGGTATGAGGGGAGCTGTGGGGGGGAGAGAGGGGCTTTTCTTACCAACTCCTCCTGATGAGAGAGAGAGAAGAGATAAAATGGGAGAAAGAGAGAGAGAGAGAGAGTGTGTGTGTGTGATAGGGGAAATGAAACATGAGAGCAGAGATGTCTGAAGTGATAACAGGAAGTAAGCGGATATACAACAGTGAGATGAAAAGGCGTGAATCCTACAGTAACCGATAACCCATCAATAACCGTTATCCAATCAGAGAGAGAAAAGAGAGGATTCAGGGGTGAGAGTGGGTTTTTATATGTTTGTCAGACTGGCTGTGTTAGCTGCCATGTTGGAGGTCTGTCGCTGTCTTTAATTTGGTTTAATCTTCATGTGGAGGTTAAATACTTTTATATATATTCTAAAAGGTTCAACTTGAGATGAAAGCAGCAACATCTCCGAGCCGACTGGGACTGATCAGAATAATCTGCCAGATGCTAAAAACCACATAAAATGTTGGTGTTACATAGAAAGTAAAGAAAGGCCACTGAGCTTTTCCCCCCATCTTGATTTTTGGGGTCAAAAATCTGCCTGATGCACCCGTGTGCTCATTTCACAGTGAAACAATGAAAAGCCTCGCAGTAAAGCCGCGTTGAGCTCTAAATTTGTGAGATTTATAATCCTACGAGGAAGGATTGTACGTCTCTGTTAAATCCCCATTATGTAACGTTTTCAACCTTAAAATAACTTTAAAATCGCTTTGAGTTGTAACAGGTTGAATGGTGCCTCTGTCCCGCGCACTGTACGCCTGCACAACGTAACGGGGCACAGCAGCGTCTACGGACACAGCTACGGAGATAAAAGTCGGGAGAAGAGTAAATCTTGGAGCGTCTTTTAGTCGTTCTTTCTTTGACCTTTAATGATCCCTGTAAGGAAATTCACTCTCTACATTTGACCCAACGTGTTCATGTGTTTGGGGGGAAACCCAGGCAGAACATACAAAGACCCTGCCCCTGCTGGGAATTGAACCCAGGACCTTCTTGCTGTGAGAAAACAGTGCTAACCACTGAGCCGCCTTACCGCTGTTAGAGAGAGCTCAGACAGACGGCCAGCTGGCCTTCTTGCTGTCGGACTATAAGTAATATTAGCCTTCTGTTGTTGCACTTGCTTGATGTTTGGCTGACTCTGTTGAGACGACGTTGTTTAAAAGGTAACTTCTGTATTTTCTAACCTGGAGTTTATTTCTGCGCACATGTTTTTGTGTAACAGGGACAACAAGTTTAGAATTTGTTCCAGTATTGAGTGAGAGCGCTGCAGCCGGCAGCCGTGAACCAGGCTACAATATAATCCTTGCAGTCACACACTGTTAGAATATGTCTGTTAAAAGTTCCTGTTTTCCTTTTGTGAGATCGGCTGTGTGTCTCGCTCCGGGAGAAGTCTTGTTTCTTTGGGATTAGTTCGCTCTCTCAACCCTCCGTTCCCACCATCCCAGCTTAATAATGGATTCTTACAGTAGAGAGACCTGGGTATTCACACAATTAGTGACCTTAACTTTACCTGAGTGGAACATTTGCCCAGTTTTCTCAACTGCAATAGCAAAAGTAACAATAGGAGTACATTTTTCAGGTTTCTGCAAATCAGAAACTGCGTGCGTCGACTCTCTGCACCTCCAGTTCCACATAGGTAGCTTCACCAAAATGCAGTTTGTCCTACATCCTTTAAAGGCTGAGTGGTATTCAAATGGTTGCCACAGTAGATGGCACTAAATCCCACACACTGGCTCTTTAACAGACGTACTGTACAATAGCCCCGTAAGGATGATGCTGTAGCTCGTTTTGTGGCTGCAGGCTGCACCGCGTCGCCCCATTCGTCACTCTGACACAAAAACATGAGAAAATAATAAAGTCCAGGTTGAAAAATACCCTTTAAGTTCCCCTTTAAGCTAAATGAGACTGCAGTGAACGGACCGGTGAGCACAGGGGGGGAAGAGAGATTTAATCGAGAGGTGGGAGAGATGGGGTGAGTCAGAGAGAGAGGGGGGTGAAGGAGGAGAAATGTCACTGACCTCGTCTACAGCTTTCTTATAGCTCTGAAGGTCGATGAGAGGAAGGATGGAAGAAAGGATGAAAGAGAGAGAGAGAGGAAGAGAGTGAAAATGAACAGCAACGTGGTTAGTTCAGAGAGTCAGTCTGTCAGAGAGTTTGTGTTTAAGACCGCAGCGGTGGAAGAAATACAATAAAAACAATGTTTAAATATTTAGTAAAATTAAACCTCTGCATCTAAATAATTAGTAAAAGGTACAACTGGATTATAATTATCGATGCATTAATTAATGTGTTCATCACTTTAATGGTGCAGCTATCTTAATAATAACACACCAGGGTTTATTAGCTGATTATATTTTGCTTTAATAATGTGAATCTGCAAACTAACTAGTAACTAAAGCTGTAAATGTAGTGGAGTAAAAAGTATATTGTATATAATATTATAATAATATATATGACTATGAATGTGCAGCAATTGAGTAGTTACACTCCACTACTGCTCTGTGTGTGTGTGTGTGTGTGTGTGTGTGTGTGTGTGTGTGTGTGTGTGTGTGTGTGTGTACTCACTGCAGGCCTGCTGGGTCGTGTCACCTCTCGCCCGTCATCTTTGGTCTCATGGGAAGAAAGTGTCGAGCCTTCAGTCTTAATGGCTGAATTACCTGAACACACAAACACACACATTTAGACTCTTTTACGAGGGTGAGGACATTTCTTTAAAAGTGAGGACATTTCTTTAAAAGTGAGGACATTTCTTTAAAAGTGGGGACATTTCTTTAAAAGTGGGGACATTTTAGGAAAGATAAATAATTTCTGGAAAGATTTGTACTTTTTTTTTTTACAATATGACATTTTTGGGAAATTGAGGACATTTATAATTTAGTAAAGTGAAGGCATTTGGGGAGAGTGAAGATATTTTTATATGAATGGAGGCCCTCACAAGTATTGTATGTGTGTGTGTGTGTGTGTGTGTGTGTGTGTGTGTGTGTGTGTGCACCTCGTTCATTGGAGCCTCCCTGGGAGCTGGGGGTGCTGGAGCTGGAGGAGCTGCCGCTGCTCGTCCTCTTCAGGGGCGTCTCCATGGAAACGTCGGTCCTCCGCAGGTCGGGGTTGCTACGGCAACACAAACACATCACTGTCTCATTCATGGAGGAAAAAATGCTGAAATTTCCTGCTCTGAACTAAAAATAAAAAACAAACACCAAAACGTCACACCTGCATTTCCTCGCCGCTAGAGTGTGTGTGTGTGTGTGTGTGTGTGAGTGAGTGAGTGTGTGAGTGTGTGTGTGTGTGTTTGTGTGTGTGTGTGTGTGTGAGTGTGAGTGTGTGTGTGTGTGTGTGTGTGTGTGTGTTTTCCCGGATTGTATGAGGCGTCTTCCTCCAGTGAGTGTGTGTTTGTATAATTTAAGAAACACCTTAATATATAAAAATATATATAAAAAAAATCAGTTGGATAATTTCTGCAGTTTTTCTCTTTTGTTCTCAATCAGAGAGGAAAAAAAGTTTAATTTCTCGAGATTCTTATTTAGTTTGTTTGGTTTCACGCTAACCAAGATAACCAGGGCTGTAAACAAAGGTCACGTGACTCACGAGGATTAGAGAACCTGCTCTGTGGACTGGGATTAGTCAGCGGGGAACAAAAGCTGGACGCTCCCTAGCCTACAGTAGAAAATATGTTAAATACTTCCTCCTTTTTAGGGCGCTGTCTCTTGTTATTTCCTATTTATTTTCTGTTACGTACCCTCAGTTTTGCCAGCTTGGTGGGTTTTCAGACTCTCTCAGCGACTTTATTTCTAATAAGCCAACAGCAACGATGTAGAATTCTAATTGGTGCATTTAAAGTCAGTAAACAGTAAGAAACCAAAGTGAAGCAGAGGGTCAGACACTATCTCAGGGGAATCACAGACTATTTCTTTAAATGTCCTTTTGATAAATATCACAGAATTATGGGAAATGCCAGAATTCATCATTTCACTGATGAAAGTATTTATATATTTATATATTGACACTATTACGAGCTGGGCGTCTGTGGGGAAATACCCGGGTGAAATGCAGCATTAAGTTACAGCTAATTCAAACTGAACATTTCCTTCTGCTGCAGCTTCACATTATTTAACTGCTCAAACACAGGATGACTTTTATTGTTTGTGTGTGAGCTCTGACGCCGGCTGCTCGCTATCATTCATCTAAAAAACGTCTACAAAAATGGTCATTTGCGACAGTTTTTGACAGCAGATCGGTTGGGGAATATAGCAGGAGAGTAATGAGCTGTTAGATGAAGCACTGCAGGCTGCACAGTAACGGTGAAACTGCATAACAGCATGAAAAACCGGTTAAAGTTGATTAATATATCCTGAGATCTGAGAGCATCTTGTCATTTTCTTAAGTATTAGTTTTCATAATGGATTAATTCCCATGTTTTTGTGTCTCTTCACACTAATATAAGCTAATAAAAAAAGGAAAATATGAAACAATAATAGGATAATTAGGCCTAAATCAGTTGTTTTATTTATTAAAGACTCCCTGGTGTACGGGTATGTGTGTACTATGTGTGTACTGTGTGTGTGTACCTAGCCCGTATGAGGTGAGCTCCAGCCCGAGGTCCCAGGCCAGGTCCATTTCCAGGAGAGTGCTTCCTGACCAGAGCAGGAGAGATGGAGGTCGTCCTCTGAGGAACCTGAGAAACACACAACATAACCGTCTGAGTCAGGACCTCCCGCATGTTTTTACGTCAGACCCTCTCCAACATAGATTTAGTTTTTTAGAAGGGACACTGTGTTTGAGTGCGATCTGGTACAGAGCTGAGAGCTACAGCAACACTGGCAGATCATTCTCAAGCTGTTCTCTGGACCCACGTTCAGGAGCCACTTTCCTACCGGGTACTGTAAAAAACCCCTGAGTTACTGGTGTATTGCAGACTGAACGAGCCGTTTACTGATCACTTTCTCAACTTGTGTGCAGTTAAGTTACATCACATACATATAGATTCTTATTACTAGAATTTAGGGACAGAAACCTACTTAAGTTTTTTAACAGCAAACACAAAATTTGGCCCTCAAACAGAACAAAAAAACTAACTTTTCCAGTTTTATTTCTTAAGCTGAAAAGTCTCTTTTTAAAAAAAAAAAGGGTGTTCAGACCGAAAACAAATCAAAGATTTTTAGGCCAGGGCCTCTTTGCAGCACTACAGAACTTCATTATAAAGCTGCTTGTCACTTTTAACTTTATCAAAAAGCTGCTGAAATTTGGGTATTGCACTTGGCAAGATTGCGATTTGGATAATGTTGCGATTAATTGTGCAGCTCTATCTTGCAGGGCCAGACTGTATGCTGTTCTTGACATCATATGGTGGGCCAGAGGAGGGGGGATGGAGGGCCAGCAGTTTGAGATCCCTGCTTGAGGTAATGTAGTGCAATTTGAAGTAAAGGTGCGTCGGCATGAGTACAAAGACAAATAACTACAGTCGGTGTATTGTTTGTTTGTTTGTGGCACAGTCTGAAATAAACGGTCCTGCTGTCATATTGTGCAACTAAAGCCAGGTGAAAATCTGCTTTGCACTGATCTGAACACCCAACCCTTATACAACAGACATATTTTAATAGAAGACATAAAACACAATGCTGAGCTGACAAAAACATCATGTCATCATTTTCTACATGCAAAATCCAGGCCACAACTTTAGTAAAGTAAATTCTCTCAGAGGAGGTTTAGTTTTTAGTACAAATAGATTTGTTTTATGCATATTTGCACAGTTTTTCGTCCATTATTGTTATTTCTTTTACTTTATTGCAGCTGGTGGCCTTTGTGATTAAAATCAATAAAATGAGATCAACACAACATCTGCTCTAAAAAATAACACAGAAACATCAGATATGAGGAGAAACTCCCAACAGACACAGAAACTAAAGTTCACACAGAAAACAGAAACAGAATTAAGACAAAGAAAAGCTTCAAGCCACGAGCGTTAACACACACACACACACACACACACGTCGGGGCATGCAGAGACCTTGGGGGGCATGTCGTCGTCCTGACGCAGCCAGGAGCTGCGGTCCAACTTGTCGAGGGGGGGCGCCAGGCGGGAAAGGGGCGGGGGAGGAGGGGTGTCGGAGGTGGGGTCGGAGTTCTGCCGGGGCATGGGAGGCCGGGAGGGGGAGGGCGACGCTGAGGAGGAGGACACGCCGTGGGGGTCGTACAGAGACTGGGACCCTGACAGACCGTGACTCTTCACCTGCACCAGGTGGGCCATCTGGATACACACACACACACACACACACAGGCAGGAAACAGGCAGGGTTGAGGAGGAAGAGCAGGATCAGGATCCGGGTTCACACAGTGCGGATCAGGATGAAGGATGCAAGTCAGGAGGGGGAAATAATGCAGGAGGAGTGAAGAGGAGGAGAGAGATGAGGTGAGAAAGAAGGAGAGGAAAGGTGAGAGACACGTGCCTCAGGGTGCGTTCACACCAGTCATCTTCAAAAGCTGGAGTTGTTTGGCTCCTTTGGTTCAGTTATATTTCCTCTAACAACCCTGAAACCCTGGAGTCTCCGTCCTGCAGTGAGAGAACTACTGTGTGTGTGTTTTTAACAGAATGAATATCAACATCTACAAGCACAGCTCCTCCTGCTTGTAAAGCTCAGTGGTTTCTTCGTGTCTTATTAAATAATAACAACACCTGAGAAAAACTACCCCAGAGAGGTTCCACAGCTCCTTTCAGGTCCTGCCGAAACACCTACACCCTGCCAGGTGAAATCCACAATGAGACCCAGTTCATCCAGCAGTTGGACCGGTAACTTAAAAGCATTTTTACCACAACACTGTGACACACGCATCCTCGCCTACACTGCACCAGCCCGCCTAAGAATCTCTTTATTTTTGCTACAAGCCAAACACACAACTTAAATCCAGACCTTAAATTAAGTCATTTAATCAAGAAAGTTTAATATTGTGAATATACAAGAGGTGCATTGAAATCAATAATCTACAGGCGTCCAGGAAGCTTTACTGTAGTATTGAAAAGGCCATAACAGGCAGGTTTTTAAAACAGTCCCACAAACTCAGATTTGGAGGCTTTAATCTCACCTTTCATTTAATGAAACCGAACAGAGCTACATCATCTGCAAAAAGTAGAGCTGCAATCCCAAAATCACAACAGCAGACGCTCCTTGGCTCTCTCTTGAGATGCTGTCCATAAAAATCTGAATTGATGAAAAGGGGGGGCAGCCACCCCCACATTACTGCTGACACCAGTCTACCTGTCTGATCTCCAGACCACCTACAGATAATCCTTCACTCAGACTTTTCCAGCAAGCTTAGAGGTCACGATCTGAAAACTACCACAAACTCACCTTTTCTACTTTCAAACAGACCAAACTCCAAAGTGTGATCGCACCCTGAGGGATGTAAGTTTGTGTCACATGCTCTCTCACACACACACATACCCACACCCACATAAAGACTACAGACACACACCTGCGGCTCGACGGAGCGGTGCATCGGCGGGGTCCGGGCCTGCTGGATGCCTCCGCTGCTGAAGGACTCAGAGCGCGGCGGCAGCGACGGGTCCGAGATCCGGTTGGAGACTTTATGCTGCAACGCAGGAGAAGTCTGTCTGTTCATCTTATAATGCTCCTCCACCTGACACACACACACACACACACACACACACACACACACACATCAGATCACAGTCACTCAGCATGCAGTGTTTATTTCATAGTCTCCTAATGATTTGTGTGGTAAGACCTCCAGATTTTGGATCTCTAGCCTTAAAATTAAAGTGTATAAGAATAAAATTGCTTTTTCTAAACAGTGTTCATCTGCTTTTAGAGTGGAACATTGTGTCTGTGTGTGTGATGGAAATATTTCTTCCTCTGAAGCTTCGAGGGAAATCCTGAGAGGCTGAGGTGAGGGTAGACCTATCTGTACAGAGTGTGTGTTTCTATGTGTGTGTGTGTGTGTGTTTCCATGTGTGGTGTCCAGAGGGAGACAGACTGATATAGCTACAGCTGCCCTACATCAGCCCACCAGCTGCCACCAGAGGGCAGGCCTGGAGATCTGCCCTAAATGTGTGTGTACACACCGGGGAGGGGCGTTCACATGTAAGTGTGTGTGCTCGTGGCCTTAATTTATGGTGATGAGAAGACCAGCAGAGTTCAAATATGGAGCACCGACCTGCATTTTCTACACTCACGTCTTCCTTAGACAAAACACACACTGGTGTTACTTTACTGAACGAAACGTGGAGATTTTAAAAGTTATAATATACATGTAAACACACTTTCAACATCCTAACAATGACAAATAATAAAAATAAAAAGAAAGGAGAAGACTTAAAACCTGGAATTCAAGAGACTCCTGGTCAGTAAATGAACATAAACAAAGCCTGAAAGATTAATCTCATGTTAATTTGAGTAGTTGAAGTTAGTGCCCATTAGATATACAATCCCATATTAACCACAACATGCAATAAAACAGCAGCTCTCAACCAAACTGGAACAAACAGACGTTTACTTGCGTCTCACTCTTTCAACCAATCCAGGATTAAAACTCCAAGACCAAGTTGATATTCTTAACTTTACAAGAAATGTAATTTTATATTCTAATCATGGTGATAAAACCAACAGATTGAGAGCCACTGCGGTAAAAGTTCAACCTGCAACACCCAGTCAGTGTCAGTAACCTGTAAAATGCAATGTGAAAGTTAAACATACAGACGATTTCGAGAAGATTAAAGAGCGGAGGAGGAAACAGGAGAGAAGAAGAAAAAGAACAAGGCACTTGGAAAAATGGAAATGGGTTCTGAGAACAGTCTAGAGGATATCACTTCAGTGGCAGTTATGGCACTTTTCTGCCTGTGGGTTGTTCCAACACTTTGGTCCAGACTGAAATACCTCAACAACTCTTGGACAGACTGCTATGAAATCTTGAAACTGAGGATCCACCATCCTGTTTAAACTCAGAGACCCTACCTCACAAATAAAAAAGAAAATATAAGAGGAAACATATTTTGTAGACTTTTGCTTGAGAAATAATTCTTCAAAATCATTAAGTAAAATAAAACTGTGAGTAAATCATGTCGTGGATTGTGTATCATTATACATCTAGACTTTGGTGATCCCCTTGACGTTCCTTCTAGCACCACTGTGAGGTTGACATTTGTAGTCATTTCTGCCCCACCCTGGATGAACAAACAATTTTGGTGATCCCTTCTCTTTCCATATGGTGAGATCATCAAGTCAAAACCTCAATTTGTGGAATACTTTGGGTTGTTGTTTGGTAATTAGCACAAAAGTAACAGCATGGTAAACACACCTGCGCGTTAACATTGTCATTGTAGGACTGCTGACATAAAAAAATATGATTCAGTGCTGTTACACAACAAGTGGGAGTCAGTATTTGGAAAGAAAGTGGTTGGAAGCAGTGACAGCACAAATCAAAGAGGAAATTAATCAAAAGGTCCCCGTGAGAAATGAGAAAGGAAAAAGTCCACATTATCATTTCTGCCGCGAGCCCAGAGTTAATGCGTGTGAGTCCGCCTGGTTAGAGAAATAAAAATGTTAAGAGTGATTTAAAAGGAAATCATTCCCCCAGCCAGGGTTAGTCAGTAAGTCAGCCTGCACAGACTGCAGGATCAAACAGAGGAGGGAGAGAATGAGGAGCACAGAGTCTGTTCATCCTCCGACTGACCCGGCGGCTGGGGCTCCGGCCCCTGAAGTCAGGGCCCTTGTCCAGGCTCTGCCGGCGCATCACCGGCTGAGAGGAGCTGGGGTTACGTTCGGGGACACAAGTGACACGGATTCGAGGCACGTTGGGGTTATCCCTGGAGGGACTGACGTGTGCGGGGTAGGAAGGCGGGCGGGAGCGGCGAGGTTTGTAACCGGGGAGTAAGAGGAGGTTGTCGAGGTTGACGTCTCGCGTCTCTCTGAAGGAGTGGTATTTCTTGGGAGGGATGCGAGGCGAGTTGCTCTGAGCTCGACGCATCACCTGGAGAGCAAGGTTGTTTACAAGAGAGCGGACACATGAACGTGTGCACAGCAAAACAAACAAACGACTTCTTTCAGGAGTTTTCTAGTTCAGTGGACCTCCATGACACACAGCCTTCTTTGTCACGTCTAAAGAGCCAGAACAGTTGATAAAAGCAGATTTTACACTTTATTTAATTCTGTAAAAAAGTTAAATATACATTATTGGAATGAAACATTTACTAAAGTATCACATTAAACACACAGGAGGAGTTTCACAGCTTTGGCGTCCTGCTGTTGCACCTTAAAAACAAACAGAAAACTGTCATTTGAAGTGTCATCACAGACGATACCTGGAGGGCAGAAGAACTCCACAAAGACAACACAAACAAACACACTGTTAACCTCCAGGGAGCCTGAACCAGCAACTCTTACAACAACCAATCAGGGCGTGTTTGTGTTCTTATGTTGAGTTTACAACCGAGTGGGCTTTGTCATTGTGGCTGAACAGCTGTTAGCGGCGAGCTGCTCGGTGGGTTCAGTCTTGTTCTCACTTGTAAACCTGTCTTCTGTCTTTTGTTTGCAAAGCTTCACCTGAGTCTCTGCACACACAGAGAGCTGCCTCTGAACCTGTGTGTGTGTGTGTGTGTGTGTGTGTGTGTGTGTGTGTGTGTGTGTGTGTGTGTGTATGGAAGAGGAAGATTGTCCACCATCAAGAAAACACTAATTTCTCTCCTTTATTTTCTCGAAAAAAGTAAAAAGTCGCATTAATTTACTGTCTTTTTCTGATTGATTCTTAAAGAAAAAAATATTATTATGTACATTTGTTTTTTTTATTTATCTTCGTAATATCCCTTCTTTGGTTGACTGTTTTTTTCCTTGTTTTTAAGCGTTATTCCAAATCATTTTAATTTACAGACTGTATAAAATTCTTCACCTGATCAAGTTCTTGAATATTAAATCTTCATTATTTCTTAAAAGTGCAGTGCAGGGAATATTTCAACCTGTTTAAACCTGCGTCATTCATCAATTTGTCTCAAGAATAGAATCAAATTGAGACAAATCACAACAAGATCAAGAAAAATGACTCTTGTGTGTTAAAATGTTGAGAAAATAAGTTCATAAATCAGTTTCTAACATAAATCCTCGTCTATAATACCTCCTCCGTGTGTGTGTGTGTCTCAGGCTGTGCATGCTACCTCTTTGGCCCAGGCGGGTTTGTCGTTGCTGCCGGGCGCCTGGTCTTTGTAATGGTACAGCTGCTTCTTGTCCTGCGGCGGTCGCTGCGGCTCCTGCTGCTGCTGCTGCAGTGACACCAGGTACGCTCGCTCCTGCTGCAGCTGCCTCTGCAGCCGCTCGGCCTGCCGCTGCTCCTCTATCTGCTTCCTCTTGTACTCCTGAACAAACAGGACGAGAGGAAAGACGGCAGGTAAACGGGGGGGGGGACAAACTGAAATGAACACGTGGAAAGTCGACTGACCTTTGCCATGAAAATCATCTTAAATCTACTTCAAATGCTGCCTGATACTTAAGTTAACACAATTTAACAAATGAATACAGTTTATGATTCATGTGGCCCTTTAAAGGTTATATATATGAGCTATTATCTATGTAAAGGTTCAGTGGAGTCATGGTGTCTCACTCCCTCTGCCTGTGTTGTATCGCAGCCTCTCTGTGGTTTGTTTCCATAGCCGGTCTGCTCCGAATGAAACTGCTGTTTTTATCATCTACGTCGGTGAATTAAGGATTTATTTCCACCAAACCAGAGTTGGTGATTGTTGGAAACACTAACAGAGACGCTTTTAATCAGTTTTATTCTGTTTCTGTCCACTTTGAATGAAGTCATGATGTTGAGCTGCGAGGTAAAATTGCTGTTTTTTTCTATGGAGTCTGGTGGCAAGCGACATTATGGCGGTTTCTGGCAGAGTTTTTAGTGTGTTTTCTGATTATCTGCTCGGTAAAACCACTGGTTTTGTCACTGGAGTCTGGTGGGCGTAGCACCGTCTACTGCGACATCTAGTAGTAAATGGATTGTAAATAGATAGGTCAGGTCAGAGGTCGGGCATTTCTCTGAGCTGTGTGTGAAAGTCTGCAGCAACCGATGTGAGTGTGTGTGTGTGTGTGTGTGTGTGTGTGTGTGTGTGTGTGTGTGTGTGGTCTGTCTGGTTTGATGTCATTTCAGTACCGTCAGCCATCAACTGACACGTCTGAATTTATTGATTTATTGATTTTATTGAACTTTTTAAAGGAGGAAAAAGCTGATGTGTGATTCTTTCTTGCGTCACCACACACCTACAACTCCCATGCTGTTGCCACGGTCACCAACCTTTGAGCTGTTGTCACGGAAAACCTTGTCCCATTAATAGTTAATGACGGTGTGTGTGTGTGTGTGTGTGTGTGTGTGTGTGTGTGTGTGTGTGTGTGTGTGTGTGTGTGTGTGTGTGTGTGTGTTACCAGCAGTAAAGCTTGCTCCTGCAGGAGCTGCTGCTGCAGGATCTCCAACTGTCTCTGTTCCTCCTCCAGCTGTCTACGGATGTACTCCTAACCAATCAGCCCCCAGGGTCAGCAGGAGACGCAGCCAATCAGAGAGCAGCGAGGCGGGCGAGAAGCAAATCGGAGCCCAGGCAACCAGTGACATCAGAAGAGCAGGAAATAGGAGAAAAAGGAAAATGAACGAGGAGGACAGAGAGTAGATTCATTGAAGAGGTGTGAAAGTAGGGATTTAGTCAGAAATAGACGAGGAGATGAAAAGAGAGAAGCAGCAGGGGGCCGTAATTAGTAGAACAGGAAGACATGCTTATTATCGGAGGAATGATGTTAAAGATCAGCATGAAATCAGCTGTGCGAGAGGTAGAAATAGCAGAAAGAGAGCGCTGCACCGCAGGAAAAGTTAACTATTAGTCATGCAGTCGGTTGAAAAGCCTCCTGTCTTCTCTTTTATACTGTAGTATTCCATGTTTGAGAGATTCTTTCTTTTCCTCCTCTTTGTGAGAACATTGAACCCAACTGCACCAAACTCTACCAGTCTGATCTACCAGGCACCTTTAAACACTTTATTGATTATACTGATTCAGAAAACTGCGCAGCTAGTTTTTTTTGAGGGACCTGAAGACTCTCAGAGTTAGAAAAATGTGTTTGATGATTTTGTATCACACGAGGAGATGAATGGGGTTGAAATGGGAAGGTTATATCAGTTTTAGGAAGCCACGCCTCTCTGGATGACAGCTGTGACGTAACGCCTGTGGGGTCAGGTGTTTTCCTACCTGTTCTCTCTCGGCGTGCCTCCGCTCCTCCTCCCGGCGGAGCTGCTCCATCTCTTCGTACCTCCTCCTCTGTTCGCGCTCCTGTTGCTTCCTCATCTCTCGCTCCCGGCGCTGTTGCTGTAGGTGGAGAAGATTTTACACAACAACGCTTCAGCTCTCTCTGTTTGTGTGTGTGTGTGCGTGTGCGTGTGCGTGTGTGTGTGTGTGTGTGTGTGTGTGTGTGTGTGTGTGTGCACATCAGGTGTGTTTCCTTGGCATTTGTATAAGTGCTAATATCACAGGTGTGGTGGGTTTTTTGCATGGAAGACGAGTCATTTTATAATCAAAGCTGAGATGTTTTTTTTTAAAGGTGAAAACAGACAGAGGGTAAAAGAGGCAGACATTCTCGATTATCACACGTGATGTTAAGGTGTTAACTCTCAGTCTCCATCAGCAGCTCTTTTTCAGGTGTCTTTTATCTTTCTAAATACTTCAAGATTGATTTTTTATGCACCTATTACACAACCTGGTACAACAACCCTTAAAGCACTGATTTACTTGCATTTAGATCTGACCTTACGGGGCATAAAAGTAAAGTTTGGAAGTATTTCTAAAAAGTAGAACGTGCAGTGGAAGCTATGTCACATTAATCTTGTGTGTCAGAGAACAAACAGGTTGTATGATTAACCATTTGGGGATTAAGCACAAGGAGAAAATAACAAGCAGCCTCTCATTCGCTATGGCTGCACAGTTAATCTAAATATGATAGAAAACAGAATTATAATGTTTTACAGACATCAACAAATGTCACATCTTCATGATTTTAGCAGGTAAGTATAAGAACAACATACTTGTTAGTAAAAATTAAGTATATCATGAGCCATTTCCCACTTTCATATGTTTAAACCACCTTCACAGAAGCTGTTGTGTCACCATAATCTGATATGTATGAACAGTTTTCTGTAATTTTATCATTTCTGTGTAACATAAAAGTCACTGTTGCTTTTTGTTATACTGTTGTTTCCTGGGTGCATGTATGTATATATGTGTACATGTTGTTTTATTCTATTTTATGTTATTCTGCTCTAACTTTCTGTATCTTTTTCTATGTTTGTAGCATGAAGGGTTGTACATTAAACCTTCACATGACGAGCTTTCAACCCAGGAACCGTTTCAAGACCTTTATTGTGAAGCTCCTACAGGGAGTCTTTTTCCACAGAGGCTAGCAACAGACTGTTAATATTTTATTAAAAGAAATGTTTCTACTTCAATATACAGACTTTTTTTTTTAGCTTTCTAGTCGAGCGATCAGGTTTAATCATTGGTAGCCACGTTGAGCTGATTAGATGTAGATCTGCAGGCGACAGTGTCTCAGATGTGTAAGGTGTCATTGAGGCTCCATTGCAGCACAACATGGTGCAAGGATGCAAAACAGATGGAAATACTGCTTCATCATGGTTTATATGTTTCCCCTTCAGGGATGATAAAACACCTTTTACAACTCCCTGCTTACACTCTAATAAAGCAGTCTGTGCTCATGTAGATATTAAAATAACGTATGAGGTCAAATCTATTCAATATAATTGTGTCCTTGAAGTAAATCTGTTTTATGTTTGTTATTCCTATACGAAAGAATAATTAAATAAATCCAAATAAATTCACTGATAAATGTAGGTGATTATACTCAATTATATGTCATTAATATGTCAAGTTTTATACATTTTTATTTGTACGATTTTAAAAAAAGTGTCTGTACGATAACATATTGTTGTTGTTTCACATAACGCAGCAGATAAAATAAAAGCGTTACCTCCTCCAGCCGTCGCCTCTGTTCTTTCTGCTCCTCAATGCGTTTCTGCCTCTCAGCCAGCAGTTGGCGTTTGTGCTCCTCGTTCTGCTGCTGCTCCAGCTGCTGACGCCGGATCAGCTCCGAACGCTCCTTATTGGCCAACTGGAGGCGCAGGAAGTCGCGCCTCAGAGTCGACTCCCCGGGAATGTTGATGATGGAACTAGAAGAGAACCAAATCAATTATTATTTAATAATAATATAATTATTATTTATTATTATAAGATTATATAACATAAATCTGCAGTCCCTTTAAATCATAAACTATAAACATGGAGGATTTAATTAAAATGTATACTCAGGATAATCAAAATAAAGAGAGTTAAAGGGCAAGTGCATGTAATAACAGTATCAACAGCAGCAGTACAAGTAACAGAAGCTGTATAGTAGTGCTTGCAGTTGCAGTACAAACAGTAGAAGCAGGAACATTATGTGCAGTAGAAGTAGTTGTGGCTGTAACAGTAGTAGAAATACTAGTAGTGTTAGTAGTAGAAGTAGTAGCACTAGTGGTAGCAGTAGAATCAGTAGTGCTGACAGTACTGCAGGATCAGTATTAGTAGTCGTACCTTGGCTCTCCAATGTCCCTCTCTTCGTCCTCCTCCTCGCTCCCACTGTACTCGTATTCTGTCTCATCTGCAGGAAACACACAGACTTCAGGTTAACATTCACACAGTCTGAACCAGCTGATCCTCCATCCAGCTGTTTGCAGCTGTCTGCAGCTGTGAGGTGAGTCAGTGGGGGTGTGCAGCCTCACCTCTCTCCCCCCTCCTCTTCTTGGTGCGGTCGATGTGGTCCTTCAGCTGGATGCGGACCTGCCGCTCGTTGGGAAGGTCCCTGATGAAGGGGTGCTTGAGGAGCTGCTCGGTGCTCGGCCTCTGGCTGTGGCTCTTCACCAGACAGCTATCTATGAACGACTGGAACTTCTTCGACCTGCAAACACACACAGATACACGAGAGTAACCAAAACCAACCATTTAATGAGCAGATTGATGGTTAATAATATAATGGAGGATCACATTATAAACATATGGAGGATTTAAAGAGGATATAAAGTCAAATGTCTTCGGTAAAGTTGATATTCGGGATATTCAAAGTGCACATGCATGTAATAATATTATCATCAGCTGCAGTACAAGTAATAGTAGTTGTATAGCAGGAGCAGTAACATTATGTGCAGTAGAAGTAGCAGAAGTAGAAGTAGTACACTTCCACATCACTGCAGCGAGGTGAGAAGTTAAACCGCCGCAGTTCCTCGAAAACTCAATACTGAGCTGTTGAACTCTCTAAAAAGGTTGAAAACATTTAAAGTAACACATTGTTTTTAATTTAAAAATCACAGAAATATAACTGTTGGAGCACAGTGCAAGTGTTTGTTGTCCATGTTTTTTTTTCATTCTCTCTTTAAGGTGCATTTGTTTTGTACACAACTTAAAGAAACTTGCAGTTAAATGTGCCAGAAAGGAAGTTTTTCCCCGTTAATTCAGGTTATTCTCAACCCCTGAAATAGACTGAGTGTGAGGTTGAGGTTGAAATCAGATTACTGCTGAATGTGGCACATAATCAGGGCCAGAGGAGGCATGGTGAGATGCTGACTCTGGATAATAACCACAGAGCAGGTGCAGAGGAAACATCTGTGTGTGTGTGTGTGTGTGTGTGTGTGTGTGTGTGTGTGTGTGTGTGTTTTAGTGACTCACCACTTCTTTGACTTGAGTCTGGGGGCAGGATTTCTGGGGATGAGGAAGAGCGCTCTCATTGGATGCATGTCACACAGAGCTGAGGAGGAGGAGGAGGAGGAGGAGAGAAAGTAAAGGAGAAGACAGAAAAAGAGAGGAGGAGAAAAGGGAACGGGAAATGTAGGGAAAGAAAGCGGACAAAGTGACAAGACATGATGTGAGGGTAGGAGGAAAGGAAATAAGGAAGGAAAGGAAAGAAAATTAGAACATGAAGAGGAAAGGAAAGGTAGAAGATAAAAGGAAACGGAAAAGACACAAGAGAAGATAAATTAGAAGAAATAAATAGAGGAAAGGAAATTATAAGAAAGGACCGAAGAGGAAACAGGATAAGAAGAAAGATGAGGAAAGGAAACAGAAAGAGACATAACCAGACGAGGAGATAGAAAAGGAATTCAAAAGGACACAAGAGGAGAACAGACGAGGCAAGAAGAGAGAAAACAAAAAGAGATAAAACAGGAAGAGACAAGAGGAAATGAAAGGAAACAGAAGGAGACAAGGAGAGGACAGAAGAGAAGAGAAGACAAGAAAAAGGACACACGAGGGATTAGAAATGGAGGAGAAAACAGAGGATGTATTTAGACTTTCATCGGAGACAAACTGTTCTGTGTGTCCACTGGTAAGAGTTCAGTGAGTCTGATGTTTCACACTTACGTGGTGCTCCCTCTGCCATCTCTATGGCTGTGATACCGAGCGACCACAGATCACTCTGCAAACACACAGAGAGAGAAAAACTGAAAACTTTCACATCCTTAAAAAACGTGTTACCGACTTAACACATCACTTATTCGGTCCTCTGGTCAGTGTTCTTGTTAGGTGATAAAAATATTAAACTGTGCCCATCTGCCGCCGCTATTGTCCGTCTCTGGCTTCTACTTTTCTATCAGTATTATTTAGTTTTTAACACATTTTAGCCAACAAACAGCTATTTAAAGTTGATGTTAATCTTGTGAGATGAACTGAGGGCATCTCGACACGTGAAGCCCCGGAGGGTCGGAGTTAATGGCGTCTTAACGGAGCAGCGTTCCTCCTCTGCGGGCTCGCCGCGGGGATTCGTCCTGTCCCCGTTACTGCACATCCTTTAGATTCAGTGTTTTCAGCGGCTGTTGCTGTGACTCTGCGTGCGGCTGGTGGTTTGTGCAGTCGTGTGGTGAGATGAAAAAAACAAACCCTAGATATGATCATTGAACCTTTGCGGAGGTTTTTAAAGGTCAGTCGGTGTTACTTGTTCACAGCTACAAGCATCGTGACTCTGTGATTGATGGGAGATTGAACTTTGGGAGGCAATCGAAGGAAAAAAACAACAAAAGCTGCTTGTTTTTGTTTTCACGGTCCACAGGAACTCTCTGACATTATTTTCCTTTAATCAATACGTGCACAGATTTATTTATACGATGTGGCTGCGGCCCAGGGGGTAGAGCGAGTCGAAAGGTTGGCGGTTCGATCCCCGGCTCCTCCAGCTGCACGTCAAAGTGTCCTTGTGCAAGATACTGAACCCCAAATTGCTCAAATGTAGTGTGGAACTGAATTACTTTACCAATTACTGCCTATAATAGTAAGTAGTTACGAGGAAAAGTAACTTTTGCATCACTTTTAAATGTCTCTTATTAATGCACTCAGCTGTCAGATATATAATATATGTTTTCATTAGTGTACAATCCCCTGAAAATAAGAATTGTTGTGTTTTTGTTACCTAAGAATGAGCTGTTTTTAACGACAGAGTTCTACAGAGGTGAACCGCCATGTTTCTACAGTAGCCCAGAGAGGACAAAACAAACACTGGCTCTAGATGTGGTCTTTCATGTTTTTCTTTGCCACTGTAGTTTCTCATTAGTGTCTCACTGCTAGATGGCACTAAATCCTGCACATGGGTCCTTTAAACCTGCATTTATCAATAGTGCGTGCTCCTGATATCAACTCTGTCGCAGCATTTAGCCTCTTTTAGCTCATTGTTTTGATTGTCTGCACATAAGCAGCCCTCGAATATAACTTCTGAGGTTGAATTTTAGAGAAAGGAAGGATATTCTCAACTTTTTTATAATAAAAACATTAGAAAGTAGCTGCAATGGGCTTTAACACAAAATCCACATATAGTGCAACAACAACATCACTCAGAGCTTCCAGACTGTAGTTCTCTTATGAAACCATATATATACATATATACATCTGCAGTACAGACAGTACTGTATGATACAGACACTGTACGTGCAGCATCCACATCTACACACATCAGCCGTACCTTGAAGTCATACGTGGCGTCTGGGTTCTCGTCACAGGCGATGACCTCCGGGGCCATCCAGTACGGCGTCCCGATAAACGTGTTCCTGCGACCCACCGTACGATCCAGCTGAGCGCTCACACCGAAGTCCACTGCAAACACACACACACACACACACACACACACACACACACACACACCGAATGAAGAGGTTAAATTACAAGCAACAATATGATATATTAATGTCAGTATGATATACTGATGTCAGATGACACGTTGCCCTCTCACCTAGTTTAACCTCGGCGTTCTCCGTCAGCAACACGTTCTGGCCCTTGATATCTCTGTGGATGACCTTGTGCTGGTGGAGATGGGTCAGACCCTGGAGACAGAGAAACAGACGATAATAATAACTTTATTTATGTAGCAGACAAAGCAAAAAGATCACCCTGACACACAAAAAATAAAATTAAATATAACAATAATAAGAGCAGAATAGACATAAAAGTCACTGATTCTGAAGACTTTATCTCCTCAGTCGAGAAGCTTTGACGGCAAACGTCAGCTTTTAGATTTAAGCCTCGACTTTGGAGCAGCCAGAAGGATCCACCTGAGGATCGAAGGCTGCAATCTGGCTCATAAGAGGGTGACCATTTCTGTGATGTAGCTTGCTTACTACTTCCTGTTAATTAGGCCTTACTATGACAGAAAGCAGGGTAGAAGTAGACGGTACTGGGAGCTTCCTCTCTTGAATTTCTCATTTAGATTGTTTCCAAAAACAAGTCTCGAAGTCCAATAAATCTAAAGTGAGAAAATAAATAAAATATGGTCTATAACTGATTGTCTATTAAAAAGGTTGTAATGTAATTTAAGCTAATTCCTTCAACTATCATCATAATTTCAACACATCGATTGTTTTTGACAGAATATATTAACATCAGATTCACTCATTCATTTACTCTCTTTAAAATAAATAAACTAGATATCGCTGATAATCCCTCAAAGTGTCACATGATTAATATCTACATGTAACAGTAAAAATGAGGAAGGTTAACTCTACAGGCTTATGGATCATTATTACAGAGCCAATACTGCAGTGTGTAAAAAATCAATACAATGGCTCCTTAATATCCCTCAATGGTTCCTTTAAAGAACTCCTCATCATCACATTTTTATGAGCGACTTGGGTCACTGCAGCAGAAAAACAAGAAATAATACAGAATATATCCAAGTAAGGAGTTCCTCAGGGAACCTTCTGGGGTCCCTTTTATATTTGTTTCCCACCAGAAAAACTGTTTCATCAAACATTTAAGAATAAGATGTTTTTTTCATGTGGTGGTTTTGATTTAATTTCAGCTCTCACCCTGAGGATCTCCCTGCAGACGTAGGCGATCCACTCCTCCTTCAGAGAGTTCCCTTTGGTGTTTTTGATCAGATCCGTCACCGATCCGGCTCCGCAGAACTCCATCACCAGCTACACACACAAACACACAAATATTGTCATTGTACAGATAATAAGTGGCTGCTTAATAAGTGGTTCGTCTTTTAAAATAAAAAATGTGCAGACATTAACTTAACAGAACTCATTTAAAGAGCAATTTAAAGTAACACCAATTCCACCTTTTGAGTTAGTACATTTTATTTAAGGTGACATTATTATAGTGTAATTTGATTCTGGTCCCTGGAGCCTTTTGCCTTTAAAAACAAATCATCAACAAAACATGTAAACGTCCCTTATTAACCCTCTAAAAAAATAAAGTTCAAATAATTTCTGTGTACAGAAATATTTTGTTCACGTTTCTTGTTTTTATTTAATAAATGTGATATTTATGACTCAATTTCAATACCTTTTTCAATTATTTCTGGTTTATGGACTTATGAAACCTTTTAGTTTAGGTTGTACAGATTTTAGGTATATTAATTATTTCAATATCTTAAAAAATGACATCAAAATAAGCAAAACTACAAATTTCTATTGCAGAGTTTAAAGTTAAGGAATATAAAAACTCATTCATACAACATTAACAGAAGGAGGAGAACAGACGACCAACGATAGCTGGTCCAAGTTGTGTGTGAAACAGAAGCCGCTCTTTGAAGTGTGAATGAGGTGCGTTCAAGATAAAATGAGGTGCCACGTCGCTCATGTACGTACCCAGAGCTGGTCATCCATCCCGGGAGGGTTTTTCTTGACGAAGGCTCCATAATAGGTCGCGATGTTCCTGTGATGGCTGTACTTCTTTAACATGTTGATCTCCGCTTTAATCTCCTCCTCCTCATCCTAAAACACACACACACACACACACACACACACACACACACACACACACACACACACACACACACAAATAAACACAATGCTGATATTAAAACTCTGTGTTTACTGAAATGTAATAAATTAGACTGCTGGAGGAAATCAGATAAAGAAGAAAAGTCTAATGAGGACAAACTGCTGCTCAAACGCCCTCAAGCCAGGATCTGTACGCTCAATCCCACAAGGTGTGTGTGTGTGTGTGTGTGTGTGTGTGTGTGTGTGTGTGTGTGTGTGTGTGTGACTTACTCCTGTGACATCCATGACCTTAATAGCAGCAAGCTGGCCTGTTTTGACATGGCGACCCTGAAAGACACAGAGACAAAAGGATTAAATGTCAACTGTCCCGTCACTTGTGTGTGTGTGTGTGTGTGTGTGTGTGTGTGTGTTGCATTTTAATGTCAATGTCAGTGAGATGCTACTCATGCAAACTGACAAATAGCACCAAAAAGTTACTATACAACGGACCAGGACCAAATAAGGGCTGTAAGAAAAGAGGTTTATATATCAGCATTTCCTTCAATTCTGTGGAGAAAACTAAATTAAATTAACATTTTTAAAGATCTGAACACAAGCTGTATTCACAGAGCTGTCACTCTCTGATCTCAACTTCAAACAACCAAAGAGCTCCAATAAAGTCTGTATGAATGTATAAAAACTAATACAGACGCAGAATTGTATAAAAAGTTCCTAAAAATATCATCACTGATCAATATTCACAGGAAATAAACCTCAATTTATGCAATAAGGAAAAAGGTCTTATGGTATTTATACCCGTATAAAATTCATCCATTAACATTACATCCACAGTTGCTTTGGGTTTTTGGAGGAGAGCTTTAGTTTTATAAGTTCAATTCTCATCTCTTTGTGCTCTTAAATGTTCTGTTTTAAGATAATAAACTTTATTTATCCAAAGGGAAACTGTTGTGCAGCAGTTGTCGTACAAAAGTAGGAAAAGAGTGCAAATGTAAAGTATCAAATAAGGTAAATAGAAGTCCGAGTGAGTTCTTAAAAGCAGGTGAGTGTAAAGTAGTAATGACTGTATATGTAAGCATGTGATCATCTTACAGGTTTAATTAAATGTAAATTGTTGTATCCTGATGATGGAAACTGTCTCTGTATAAAAAACCTTGACAAAGTGAACTGAAAACCAGATTACAGCTGCATATGATCCAGTTAATGAGGTACAGGGTTATTATAGTTAACAAAAACTAAAAGTAGGCGTGAAAGAACATTGTAATTAACTAAAATGTCTTAAGTTTTGTTAATTTGGTTAAAAGTGCCTTCACAAAGTGTATTATAATACCTATATAATAAAAAAAACTGAAACTAACACTGAAACCAAATAAAGACAAAAACTTATTACAAAACTATAAAAACTGTGAGGTAATTCGATAATAGTTTCCCATCTGTGTTGATTCACAGCCAAATCACAATTTCTGTGTTCAAACCCTCTGACGCACAGCAACTCTTTGTTGGATGTGTCGGGACCGTGAAGCTCGTGGAAACAGTATTCCTGCAGTGACAGGAAATTAATTTGCCACGCTCGACCTAAAGCGCTTCAAATTTAGATCTCTGGATTTCTTGTTCAGTCCACAGTCCGGACTATTTCCCATGAGCCTCTCGCTGTGGTGACGCGTGCCGGTAGGAACATCAGAGACGATGATACAATTATTATTATATCCTTTGACTCCCTGAAATGTTCCTCGTAGTAAAAAGGTTTATGATGGTTCTCTTTAGTTTGGTAGAAGTTTGGTTTTATTGAAACGTACACAGTGTTTTTACCTGGTTATGAAACACTTAATTTAATACTATAATGCCACTATATGATCTACATTAACAACAACACCATGAGAGAGTGTATGAGTGGATGTTCTTAATGCCTGCCACCGGGTCGGATTCCCCTTGAAATCAATGAAACCAGGCAGCAGAAACACCGTCACTCTCACATGCTTGCGTCTGAACCTCAGTGCTTCAGAACAATCAGCGTCCTGTGAGGAACTACGGGAACAACCGGAGAGTATTTCTTGCAGGATGTTTTTCTTTCTTGTCCCCCGACTGACCTCAGTAAGAGTTTGACCACGTTATACGGTTCGTTGATCTGATTGGTTGAAGTTCGCCCTTGATACACTGCAGTCAGGTTATAACACAATCAACAAACAAACTAAAAGTTTTTTTGCCTTTTGACTCGTTGGAAAGTAGAAATGTCGACACTGTTAAAAGGTCCAGCGTGTAGGACTACAGGTTACAACCCCCACGTCTCACCCTCCTGTTCCAAGTGTGTTGGAGAAACTACAGTGGCAAAAAAAAACTCAGCAAAAGAGAGAAAATCACTCATTAAAACATCACAGTTCCACCAAAAAGTGACTGCAGATTGTTTCATTTGAGGTCTGAAATGGTAAAAACGGCGTCTTCTTTCCGAACTTCCAACCCCTCAGATGTATCTCTGCGGCCCCTCGGAAGGGTCCCGACCCTTACGTTGGGAAACCGCAGCACCGGAGGCTGAAACCGTGTCTTTTAAAATCCAGCCTGACTCCTCCTCCTCCGAACTGAAGTCAGTATCACAGCTGTTAAAGCGAGAAAGTGGAAATGTATCCACCTCACCACCAACCCACCACCCCATCACCCCATCGCACACACACACACAGACAAACACACACCATCTCCTCATGGTAACCTAGCAACAGGGCTGGCAGGTTGTTTAGTGAGGGCAACGAATGGCGGGGGGGGGGTTGGAAGAGTCAAAGTGATGGCAGTGTGTGTGTGTGCAGTGTGTCTGTGTGTGAGGGGGCCATGATATTTCACACTCTGGGTCACTGTGAGCTGCTCAGATTCACACACACACACACACACACACACACACACACACACACACACACACACACACACACACACACACACACACACACACACACACACACAGTGTCTTGGTTACTCAGTGTTGCATCAGACACTGAATGTATCTGACAGGCCGAAACCACCTCGGAGTACGGAAAGTCTCTTGTTCTCTTTTTCACATCTTTCTGTCTGTCTCTCATCTTGACTCTCCTGTTTTCTATCACTCTCTGTCTTTCTGTCAGTCTTTTCTCTCTCTCTCTCTCTCTCTCACAGTCAGTCATGTTGCAGCAGCGGCAGTTTATATATAGTGCAGGTAGATAGTGTGAGTATTACTGTCAATCGAACGCTTGATTTATGCTCGCTCGACACTCATCATGTGTCTCTCAATGACAGAGAACGTGTCGCACCTCGCTCCGCATTTATAGCTCTGCATCAGTAAAATATGAACAGACACAGACTTTAAACTCTACTGGCTCTAACGAGGCTGATGTCCTTTCAGAAGTAAGTGGACATAATACATAGCCTTGTTTAATAAGTTGGACTGTGTTGTTTTTAAACAGCAGAGGGCGCTATCTACTTTTGCCCATTTGACGTCTTACATTACTCGTGTCAGTAGCTGTAGGTGCAAACTAGCCCTGCACGATATGAGGAATATCTGCGATGTGTTGCGATAAATAAACAAATCTTAAAGAGTTCATATTAGTTATACAGTTTCTATGTCAGCCTGGTTGTCTTTAAATCCTGGATGAGAATTAAAAATTTTAAATAAAACTAGATGTTGTTTCTAAAGCAGTCACAATAAAAACTCAATAAAATCTCACTGGAATCAAGTTTAAAATGTCAATAAAATAAATTATATTCCTGACACCAAAATACAGGAACAGTCATTCATACTGTCCTCCTTCCTCGCGCACGTTCGTATAGCGAGGACGATAAAAATGCGATGTATCGTTCAGCCCTCGTGTAAAAAACACAGCGACCAGAGGAATCACCATCCTGTTTAAAATTGGAGGTTTGGCAGCTTTTTGGCTTCTCTAAGACAGAAAAAGAAGAAGATAACAGACAAGACACGGCAAGAGATACACAAGGCTGTTTTTACCAAAGATGGTTTCTGTCATTTAAGGTAGTTCTTATATAATAAGTTTGGTTTTAATTAGTTATTTGAAGCTTTAAAAAGGAGGTATGAGAGGACTTTGATATTGCGTAGCCAACCCTGATCACTGTGGCTCCAAATTACGTCACCAGTGTAAGATGGCAGCGGCCGTATTTGGGATATTGTGGCTTAATTTCTGTATAGTGGGAGGAAGTAGGGGATGCGACGTCCATCTTTGTTGATGGTTGTTACCAGGGCATTCTTTTATTGTTGTTTATTTTTATTGTAGAAGTAAAAGTCCTGTTAATTCTTCCTGTAGACAATATTGTGTCACTCACAGTTCTTCTACTTGCTCATCAGGACAAAATATTAATTATTAATCACATTAGAAAACATGAAAGATACTGTTTCAGTGCCTTGACTGAAGAACCAAGTCTTTCCACATGAGCCCATGTTCAGGATTTGTTGGGATTCTGGGGTTTACTCAGCAATGTTATTATCCAGATAACTCAGTAAACATGCTCCTTGGACCTCAGGTTAAGTGTGTGAAGTGTCGCTGTGACTGCAGGACAAACGTCGGCGATCCACCGCGATGGAGCAATAAAAAGGCGAGGCAGATAAAATAGGAGAGATGAGAGGAAGAGATACCGTCTCAGAGAGGCTCTTTGTTTTGCTATCTCTCTTCCTCCGACGCTGGCGGCCGGCCACACAATTTCCCAAAGGTGACACAGAGCTCCCAGTGTGTGAGAGAGAGAGAGATTATGGCAGAATCAAGACGGCATGGGGAAAGCTGTATTAAAACACCACCTGAATCCACACATGGGAGAAAGAGAGAGAGAGAGATAAAGATAGCGACAGAGGGAGGTGACAGGTGAGGAGGAGGAGGATGACTGGAGATAAGAAAAAGGGCAGAATATCCTTTTGAGGTAGCCTGAGGCGTAAAAACACACCACGAGTCTCGTGTTCAGTCAAGCCCCACATTCTTAACCTGAACACAAGCCCCAACACATTGAGACAGAGACAGACTGAGAGAGAGGCGAGATACCAGCTGAGTTTCTATCCCAGCTGTGCGACGATTAAAGACACATAGAAACAGAAAATGTGGTCAGTCTGTGTTGATATGTGACAGATACCGAAACGTTTAGTGAGCTTAAAAGGTTGAAAAAGAGAAACTTATACTGTGTTTTAGGTGCTAATTAGTAGTTCAGCCAGTGGAATATCGCGTCCCGGGCTGCCCCTATGAATCACATATCTAGTTGGTATCAGGATTTTTTGATGCAATCCCAGTATCTCAAGGAATTATTGCTCCCTTTTCTAAGAAAAATACCAACTGAAACCCGGCAGTTTCAGCATGTGTGGACTTGTGGGGCTGTGT